GTCACCACTTCCAAAACCATGACCCTCTCAATATTACATTCTCATCCTTTGAGCAAACCGGCAACGCATGAGAGTTTGAAGATGAGGCTACATCTGAGGGTCTTCGAACAACGAAGACCACTTGACCTATGTAATCGTTGTTTACCAAACGGGTTAAGGAAGGTGAACAGTTATAACTCTCAACGATGCGGTTCAGGTTGCTTTGTTTACGCATGAGATTAACTGTAGATGTGCATGCTACCTATCATGTGACTTGGGCAAGGTACACTAGATTTTTGGGTATTGTATATCCGTTGAGCGAATAAGGGGCTATTAAAGCTCGCAAGGAAAACGAAAGTAAGTTGACAGATGTATTTCCGAAATGATTCTTTACAAAATATTCTCCTCACGAGGGAGAGTTCCCAAGTCAGCTCGGCCAACCCGGATAAGACATATATCCCCGTAACGGGCTTGAAACGCTGATTCCAAATCTGCTTTCCTTTTCTGCGGAGCGGCTTTCCGAGAGAAGTTATGAGCGTTTAAAAGTCCAAATTTGTCATGTTTTAAGTGGCTTAAAATTGGCGAAACCTGTACAATAACACATGGGAGTGATTTATCAGTTTTGTACCAAGTATATTGATTACAAGGACGGAACACAGATAATGAAATTCCGTTAGGTGTTGTTTTACAGCTTTCAACTGATTTTAAGTCACTTTGAACATGACAAATTTAGACATTTAAACGCTCATAACTTCCTTCGGAAAGTTTCTCCGCAGAAAAGGAAAGCAGATTTGGAATCAGCGTTTCAAGCCCGTTGGTGATATATGACTCATCCGGGTTGGCTGAGCTGACCTGGGAACTTTCCCGTAGGATTATGTCCATCGGGTGCCAAGGTGTTGTTTATTTCAGGCAGTATCGAGACAAATTTAGGTGATCTGCTTATATGGTAATTGTTAGGGAGGCCTCAACTGAAATTTGTCCATTCTTCACATATTCTGCAACGATGAATCCATGAAATAAGTTGAAAAGACTCAGAACATTAATCTTCCATCGAAGAATCCCCGGCATTTATGTTTTAGGATTACGGTAGGTTTGTGCCACCTTTCTAGATAACTTTACCGTTCGCTAAGATATTTTACAAAACTATTTTCCCGAGTAAAGCTCTGATTTATCCGCGGGCAAACAAGTCAGTTAAATCTTAGTACTGAACCCGAGAGGAAGATGATTGGTGCGCTCGCGAAGATTGCTGTACTGGACAGAAATTGAATTTGAATTTTATAGCTACCAATGAATAGTATGAGCTGCCGCTTTTGCAAAGATTTGACAATGCCTCTCGATGAATATCCGCAAAAGAGGAATCAAGGTTCTCAGTTTACCGGGCACTTCCACATTCGCATTTGTTCCATCCCCACTGCCGTTTTCAAGTTTTTCTGTTTGAATGTTTTATTTCTTCTGAGTAACTCAAGAGATTCTCATCCATGATGATCTCTTGTATAAGCGTCAAGCTTCATCGGCTTCCGACTAGCCATGTTTGGTGGTCTACCTGGTACCCGCAATCACACACACCACGGCTACTTGACGTGAAGTGAAGCATGTCCGCAGCGTTGTTTGCCGTCAGCGTTCGTCCGCGCAGCGGTAAGCAATTGCGAGCTGACACCACATCACTTACCGCGCAAACATCCCATCTGGCTCCAGTTTCCGGCACCTTTCATGCGATCCTTATGGGGAATGAACTTTGGTTAGAGACCTGTGGAATGTTCCGAAAACTCTTGCTTTGAATGTTTTACATAATCAGGCAAATCCAGGAATTTGCTCCCGTCAGTAACGTACCCAAGGAAGATATAAGAGAGATGGAAAGTAATTTTAGCCGTTTAGACAGGTTTTCAGCCTGAGTGCTACCGAATACTTGAATTTCTACCGGCACAAAATGAGCTTTTAGAGCTGATTTTCCTTTACTTCCACGAATTAACGTCTTTTATACTAACTGTAAGTAACAGTGTACTAACGTAAGTTCTGATGAGTAGCTGACAGCACCGCATATACAGAAACCTGCTTCGGTTTCAGCGCTTTCGAAATATCATGCCGACAGAGCTTGATGATATAACCGACTAATGATTTTTGATATTTTCTGAAATAATTATTAGTATCCATCTCCTCTCGTAGGTGGCTGTGGAATTTAGGTGGTCAAAAACTGATAAAAGCTTATTTTGATAGAAAAGTCAGACAAAATAAAATTCGTCACCTGGTTACAATGACCTTCCGATGACCACAGGTTTTGTTTTCGGCTCAATTAGGAAAGCAAACGCTCTGTCGCTGATGAGAACCAGCACAAAACTGATTTTTTAAAGTACGAAGCCGCCAAAGAGCTAATGGGTAGCTCCGATAATGTTTCAGTATAGAATGATTAAGTATGACCGTATAGAAATTATCGCACTATACCCAAATGCACGTCAATGCAGCACTTATTGAAAGAAACTTTGTTTTATCTTTCTTGTTAGATTTTATCTACTATCACATGCTAGCTTGATCGCTGTATGTAATGACAGTTTACTTGAATAATGATATTGACATGCATATATTGCACTATACCTATTACTCAAAGGATTCCTTCCTGCTTGTTTTAAGCAAGTGAACTGGTTCGGAAATCTGCTAAACGCTGTTTGCAGAAGAAAGGGGGCTATGGTTACTAGCGTCAAGTTTGATCTTGCACATGGTATCAATTTTAATTCGAACGAAAACTCACAATCAGTCATCAGCGGCTGTTGCAAATATTAGGTGGGTCCGAAAGTTCATGCCGTTTTTCAGACCCATGCTCAAACCGCTTATAATAATGATAACGATAGACAAACGTTTCAAAAATCGTTCAATGCAGAATTTCTTCCTCTTTCTAACGCTTATGTTTTTGTTCAGCTTCCTTTGATGTCCGCTCGAATAATCGCCAAAATCTCCAACCCATGGTTTTTACCCATCCCAAGTTTCGCTATTTTTTAGAATTTTCATTTTTAACTTTCGGACTAGCTTTGATAACAGTTGGATAGAATAAACAAAATGCTATACAATGGATTATTTTGGCCTTTTCAACTAGCTTTTCAGCATTATTTGAAGGAATTTTTCCAAAATGGATAGTCATGAAGTACACAACCTCTTCAAACACTAAGAAATCTACGGAATTTGAACCTTCCGAAGACAATTTATTACTTAACACTAATTTTAGCAAGCAACTGAGCGTTTAACGTTCAAAATATCGGATTCCGAATTTTGTGGTTTCAGCCTCGGACGAGTATGAAATATGAATCATAGTGATTTTATCCTCAAATATCATACAAATAAGGAAGAAAAGAAGTCTATCCGAAAGAGGAGGAAAAATTGCATAGAATGACACCCTGGTTGCTCTCCGTTTATTGTTCTGTGAAGATTGGGTTGGCCTAATATGGAATTTGATCATCAGAAAAATGTTTTCAAAAATTTTGAGAATCCAGCTGGAAATGCCAAAAAATGTATTGCTAGCATTTTGTTTCTTCTATCCAACTGTTATCGAAGCTAGTCCGAAAGTTAAAAGTGGAAATTTCAAAAAATAACGAAACTTAGGGTGGGCAAAAATCATGGGTTTGAGATTTTGGCAATTAATCGAGCAGATTTCAAAGGAATCTGAACGAAAACATAACTGTTAGAAAGAGGAAGAAATTTACATCGAACACCCTTTAGAGTGTTTGTCTATCATTATTTTGAGTGGTCTGAGCATGGGTCCGAAAAACGGCCCGAACTTTCGGACTCACCTAATATTTTGGGACGAGAGGCAGGTTGTGAAACTGCACCGTGAAAATTTGAACAAATAAAAGACATCCAAAATAAAACTTTCACTCATCCGTATCTCCGAATGAATTGAAATTGTATAGGACTAGACAACTGGAATACTTTAAAGGCCTCGGGTACACTTCAAGCGATTTCAGTCGCGACACGATTTGGCAATACTCCACTGCAAATAAACTCGTCGTAAGGGCATTCGAAATGTAAGAAGATAGGGCATCCTATAGATTTACAGAAACATACACGCTATGCATTGTTAGCCTGCTATTGGATTTGAAGAGATCTGGAAAGTTGCCAATCGTGTAGCGACTGAAATCGCGTGAAGTATGCCCGAGGCCAAATATGGTCCATTTTCATCAATAAAATCAAAAAAGCTGCTAGGGAACTCTGAGTGAAGAAAGTAAGCCAATCCATTGACAATTAATTAGATTCAGTGAACTAAATTTGTGATTTTTTGTACAGTTCGGTGTAAGTACTCAGACTTCTTAATTTGAATTTGTGAGTTCGCCTTGCTTGGCCTCTAAAAAACCCAAATGTTTGTAGTTTTGGTCGCAAATTGCAACAACTGGCATGCAGTTGTTTGGATAGCTTGTTTCTTGAGAGTCCGGCACTTGACTCGGCGGTGACTTGATACGAGTCCGATACTCCTTCTGCCTGGCAGCGAATATACATTACAAAAGGATTCTGCCGACGTATCATCTCTGAGTGACCCTGAGCAGGCGCTCTGCAGACATTTTTTGAGGATTCTCAATTGCTTGGAAGGGTAGAAAGCATGAGAATGAAGTTTGATAGGACAATTGCGTACATAAACAATGAAGTTAGTGCGTTAGACCGGAAGGTGTAAAATAGGGTACGGTGGTGGATGGCTTGTAATTTAGTGCACTTGCAGTGCCAACAACATCTGCGCGAAGAAAAGGCCCTCTTGTGCTCTAAATGCTTGTGCGTGTGGAAGTGCCTACAGAGTAAAAAAAATCCATTTCCATCTCGAAACCATGACCATTTCTCATACGTGAATGTTGTAGGACCCGCGCGTACTAAATTAACCGTCCGATGTTTCGATTGTACATCAAAAATTATTCACAGCAGTAATCAATTCAAAAGTTCTAAAATCATGAATTCTCATTCTTCAGTAATAAGTCACTGCTTTATTTAACTAAAATTATTTGTATAAATGTGCTATTTTCAATGTTTCGTCATTATAATATTCGTATTTTTCATTTCTTTTCAGCCTTTTTCTCTGCAATTCAAAAATTTTTGAAAAGAAAAAACAAGAAATTTGATAAGTTCAAAGCCTACTGTCAAGCTTCTTTTTTCTCTTCAGTGATAAGTATTTAGCTTTTGTCTCTGAGTAAACTGAGTACTTTTTGCCTGAAAAATGCTTATCCCTGAAAATCATACCTTGGAACTTCTGATGTCACCTTTCTCTTTACTTTCCGCTGAAGTACTTCTTTCAGGCTTTTGTTTCTTGGCACTACTGCCAGCAGAAGTTCGTGGAGAATTCAACAACTTTTTTCGAGCTTAACCAGAGTTTCAGAACATTCGTGTGTGCACTTGCGTACCTTCGAGTTTTGCAGCTGCTAGGGCATTTTCACGGCTTGTATGCTTTTCTGCAATTTTTCGTTTGATATCAATTGTTCGTACACTGATAATATTACCCACAACTCACTTCTTGATTTCACGTGCTCAAAACCTTGCTTATGAATTATCTCAACTAACTCGGGTTTATAAGCGATTATAAGAAGTAAGATCTAAACAAAAAAGTTTACATTATCGCACAGATCAAATCTTTTACGTTCTTTTGTTTCACATGGTCAAATTGTGGTAGTGGCCCTGATAGCGAAAGAGAAAATTAGTCAACCTTTTTTAATTTACCAGCTTCTCTGAACAAGTTAGAAAATGCGGCAAAATTTAGAGTTGGCATTCTCGGCCGAACGTACATCATATGAGCTGCAGCTTACCTACATAATAATTTGGGTACAAAAATTTGTATCAGTGTTGCCTTTAGCTCCTTCAACCATAAAAGCTAAGCTTGAAACTTATGCTTACCGCTGCTGAAATGGCGATCGAAGAGCACCATCCATAGAAAAAAGCTTCTATATAAGGGAAAATGCTGGAAAGATCTGAGTTAGTGAGTTGTCTGGTAATCATCTTAACTATTATGACCAGGAACTGACACTACTTTTCGCATTGGTCTCAATAGCAAAATTACCACCGGGTGTCCGAAATGTGGATCACATGAGAGGTACGCTCTGAATGTAGTTTGAAAACCCCCTTTCTACTTTCAATCACGTCTACCTGAACTCGTCCTGAGCACTTGGACTATAGGCATGACAGATGAAAGACTGTTTTACTATTAAACCATCACCTTCGGAAACTAACACCTCTTTTACTGTACACCACTCAAGCTCTTCGCTTCTACAAAGATTTTTAGCTAAGAAATTTGCTGTGCAGAGAAGTGAACCCACAAGAAGTCAGCATGCAAAGTTTTTGAGGAACCTGGTATAGTAATGTGAGCTTCGACATTTTTGATACACTGAGTCAGGACATTCTGTGTGCTTGTCTCTGAAAAAACACCATTTAAGAATGCCATTTTGATAATTTCGGCAGTCACTATGATTAGAAAAGCTGTAGTAAAGCAATGGAGTCCATAAATAATTTCACTCTGTGGTACGAATAACATAAGCAATACTGTCCGACAGTGACGTACCCAGGATTTCCGCTCGGGGGGGGGGGCGGCAAAAAATTTTTTTCTTGACGCACCCAGAAAAATTTTTTGGTGTGCTTCTCAAAGTTTTGGCGGGTCCATAACCCCAAAATTTTGGAAAAAGGGGGCGTGGCTGACGCCATGCTTCGAAAAAAATTTTTTTATACGGCTAAATAGAATTTTTAAAAAATTTGAAAATTATTTTATTTTCGTACAAATATATTAGGCTGGCAAGAAAGTTCTCGGACATTTTCAGAAAAGATCTGCTATTTCTCGAAACCTAAAGCATATACATCAGACTGAGGTACGATTCGATAGAGCAAAGCAAGCTCTACAAGTAGGTATGCAAAGAGTTTGCACCAGCTTCGACCCACCGTAAGTTTTCGCCCAAAATCTGAGTCGTACTGAAATTCAGAAAATCGCGAAAAATTCATATCTTTGTCCAAACAAATCTTTCGGATCTCCAACTTGCACTCAAAAATTGCGGAACACATCAGACACTCATATGCACTGTACCTGTATTTTTTCCTCATCTGGAAATCGAGAAAACGAAAATTTTCATGCTCGTATAAAAACGAAGATGTGCTGTTTCCACCGACGTAATTGAATAGTTCAAGCCATTAGAAGTATAACCGTAGATTTTCAGCTTTCCGTAAGCCCTAGTTGTCGAAAAATATTGATTTTAGCATGGAACGCCCGAGTGAGGAGCGCTTAAATCGCTAATTTTCGGGAACTAGGGCCTGTAGAAAGCTGAAAATCTACGGTTATACTTCTAAGGGCTTGTACCATTCAAATACATGGGTGGAAACAGCACAGCTTCGTTTTTATATAAGCATGAAACTTTTCGTTTTTTCGATTTTTAGATGAGGAAAACTTACAGGAACGGTGCATATGAGTGTCTGATGTGGTGTGCAATTTTTGTGAGCAAGTAGGGATCCGGAGGATTCGTTTGAACAAAGATATGAATTTTTCGCGATTTTTTGATTTTTGGTACGACTCAGATTTTGGGTGCAAACATACGTTGGGTCGAAGCTGGTGTGAACTTTTGCATACCTTCTTGTAGAGCTTGCTTTGCTCTATCGATTGGTACCTCATTCTGACGTATATGCGTTAGGTTTCGAGAAATAGCGGATTTTTTCTGAAAATGTCCGAGAACTTTCTTACCAACCTAATAAATAAGTCACTTGCACATTTTTACAACAGCAATAGCGAGGAATTCAGTTCGTCGTCATGGGCTATAGTTCAAAAAATTTTGCTCTCTGTGGCTATGAATAACGCCAAAGAGGAGTAATATGTCTGAATACGTCGAATTGTAATTTGCGGACACTGTTATTCTTCTGTAAGCTAGACGGCACAATTACGTTGTTTCGTATTTGTACATGGTCCGTAGTAAAGCTCGGGCCCTTCAAGTGATCTGAACTGATTGCCTCAGCGCAGTTCCGTAAGGTGAACTTACGAGCGAGCACTCCCCATGTTACAAGCAATGTGGCCTAATAGGTGAGGGTCCGGTTAGGTAACGCGCTGATGTCATGGCTTCTGCGGAAGCAACATACGTGAGTTGGATGAATTATGTGCAAACCATGACCAAGAAGAATCCCTAAGTTTTTCACGAGTGATTTGCAATACACGTCATTAGACGTTTCGGTGGCTTAGGGTCTACAAATAGATGAATGAACAACTAATTGCAGCCACGAATACAAGAAAACAGATCTTTTGCAGAGTTTCAGGTGTGCATGGGCAGGGCTCGGCACGAGGTGGCTAGATGAAAATGGAAAAAACGAAGTCCCCCTTGACTTTTGGAAATTTTTACGAAGTCCCCTTTGACCCTCGACCAAATTTCCTCTAAAAACCTGAAAAATTCCCCAAAATCCCCCAAAAAACGAAACGTCGACTAAAAAAAAGGTCGCCGTCGCCAATTTTCCGTGTCTCCTCGGTCACAAAAACGAAACCCCCTTTGCTTTTCGTCCCAAAAACGATATCCAGCTTGCTTGTAAGCCACCTCGAGCCGAGCCCTGTGCATGGGCTAGCTTGTTGTTTTTGAAGCTAGCAAAAATCATGTAAGCTGCAGCAAGTTTAGCTAGTACTGATAGTTTGAAGCTCTGACACTATTTAGATTGAGAAGGATTCTGCTGTTCACTGCTCAAATTATTTCCGAAAGAAAAACCTGTGCAACACTAGGAAAACCAGTAGATTGGAATTTATTTCACTTCTCTTCAATACTCTTTTTTTTGTTTATGAAATTTTGTTTGCTGACATCGTTACAATGATCTTTGCTGTGCGGGAAAGCTGATACGCTTGTAAAACATTTATCCGATTTCTCGATTTCTTGAAAGAAGAATATTTAAACATGCGAAAGAGGAACGAAACGGTCATCGCTCACTTCATTGCGCAAAAATCTGCATAGGAGCAACTAAACAATGAGCCAAATGCTATTCCACTTGCAGAGCTCATATTGAATTCATTTTGCACACTATGCATTGCTATCAAAATCATGTAAGATACGAATCTCAGCAGGAATTCTAGGACAATCACACCCTCTTAAAGCATGCTATAGATTTACAAGCCGATAAATGAGATTGAGAAAGCTCTGAGGTGATTGTCGTGCGCGAAAGGAAGCGAAGGAACCCACTGCGAAATGGAATGGAGAAATTCAACTCTTCAGTTTAATTTAAAAGATCCTTTAAGTTAACACCTAAGTTGTTCAACTTTTCTCATGACTTCTCTATTTTATGGCTCACTCATTTTGTGGCAGCGAGTAGATTGTGATGTATATGATTTCCTGAGGTAAAACAAAAAGTTCAAAATAATTTTTGAAGACGGGTGAAAATTGAGATTATAGGCTCCTAGATTTGAAAAAAAAACCTGCACAACCAGCTCCCAATGATTGCAAAGAGTTCGACGTTCTCGGATCTAGCTAAGGATCGACGGGGTCAGATCCACTGCAGTCTGGCTTTTCTGATCACCAAGCGGTTCCACCCCCGGGGTTTGAGATTTCCGCCGAAATCAAGAGTAAGTTCCAGTAAGTTTGCTGTTTTAGGGGAAAATGTCATGACTCATTTACCAGGAAGAATAAGAAACTCTGCACATCGGATCCTGCCTACGGCACCGGGTGGCAGCCAGAACGATGTCAGCGTCTCAAAGAGCCTTTTGGATCGGACAGAAACAATACGTCTAGGGACGACACGCTTTGGGAATGCCTTATGCTCTGCACCTATGATGCTAAAGCAATCTCCACAAACACCACCTCCACGCCCTTCTCGACGCTACAGAGCATAAGTGCCACATTATCGCTCTGCAGAAAACGAAAACCAGGAGGAAGGAAGTGCGACAGATAAGTGATGGGATCCTCATTAATCATGGTGATAAAGTTCCATGACGAAAAGTGGGGGGGGGGTCGGCTTTATCGCCCACTCATCTATTGTTTTTGTCAACGCGTATGAAATCACTTCACTTAGACACAGTGTTTCTAATACGGAGATGAATCTTGGATCCACACAAATCAGGCTTTTTTGAGCTTCTATTTTGTATTTTGGGAGCAAATCAATCGTCTGATAGAGCTGATTTTTTTCATAGTAAGTTTACCTGTGTGATATATCTAACTGAATATCTCACAAGGGAAGAAGGATACTAACTTAGATTTGCATTTTGAGTTGAGACATCACATATATTTGGTGTCAGCTTTAAACGCTGATTCCAAATATGTTGTTCCTAGATGCTTAGCATTATTCCGAAGCGAGTTATGGGCTTGCAATTGTGAGAAATTAATTCTGGATGCCATAAGCGAGTGGATTAGAATCTGCCGAAAAAAGTGCTAGGATGTTAAACTAGCATCAGATTAATTCTTTCGATCTTGAAAGGGAGCATTATACATTTGCAAAACCACCTAGACATCGATACCGTAGCATCAGTAGGTCGAGAAGCACGCAAACTTTGCATAGAAATGAGACCATAACTCGCTTCAGAACAATGCTAAGCAGCTAGGAGTAGCATATTTGGGATCAGAGTTCCAAGCTGATTTCAAATACATGTGTCTCATCCCAAAAGGCTTATCTAAGTTTTTCCCTTGTCAGCAATACTCGAGTTTTCAATTAATGTGGAGGTCCTCAGAAGTTTCTGATGGTGATTCCAGAACATGGGCGGTAGGTATTAAGCTTTTATTTGATTAGGAGTTCTTTTGTGCCGTCACCCGAACGGGCAGCCCGCGCCCACGATGTGATGGTGTTTGGGTAAAAACCCGATCTGCCGAGTTTGGATCAGTAGTGACAGAAGTGCTGATGCAGTTAAACTACGCCTGCTGACGTATTCTGAAAAGGGCGGTGTTCAAGCGTTTCTTTGCGTCGCATGTTTCTACATGTTCCTTTCCCAAGAAGTTAGTTAATTTTTAAGTTTTTTTAGTTAATCTATCAGAATCCTAGTTTTGAAGATTGAAATTTACCATTCGTTTGCATCGGTTTTACATGCCACATGAGCACTTAACCGAGCTTGTATTTCTCAGTTTTACAAAACAGATGTTGTTAGACTTACATTGAGAACGGATGTACTAATCTCTAACGAACCAGTGGCTGCTCTTCCATGGTGCAGCAAAGAATCAGCAGTGCACAGGTAGAATGCAATGCACATCCGCATTCTAATGCTGCTGGCGAAAATGAGCGAGATCTGCTGCGCTTTTAACAGTCTATCATTGATAAACTTGCTATATTGTTTTTCAAAGCTCTCGCTAAGAATGCATGCACGCGTACAAGCTGCCAGTCTGCGTTTCCTGGATCTGCGAGCAGATCTTTCGGAAGGCCTCTGCGGTAGAGTGGCGTCGAATAAGCGACCAAGGTGACTAACTACTGAAGCGGAACGGAACCACTTGATAAGTGACGCACTTAACGTCTTTTTGAGGTTACAAGCCATCTACAATTCTGTTAACATGGTCTGAGTCTTTTCTAGCCCTTCCAATCGTTAATCATTTTGATTATCATTTGTTAGTCGTCTTACAGTAATTGAAATAGTAACAAAGGCCATTGCTTAAGAGAAATGTCGAGAGGGGTGACCGGGTTGGGCACCCACGCGCTTCACACATCACGGCTCTGGCGCCTCTACAGTTTGGGCGATCATTATGGAAGAAATCGCCCGATTTCAAAACGACAGCAGGATGACACATACCGCCCAGAAGCGTAAAGCTGCTTCCTTGGCGAAACTGAATACGCTGATCATTCATCCGTCGTCGAGGAAAGGCAGCGAAGAACTCTAATGACTTTTTCAAGGAGGTTTTGTGACTTCTTCCTTCACAGTGCAAGGCAAATTTGTTCCTTTCAGATCTCACTATCTATAATTTTTGCAATGGCTATTCACTAACTTACAAGATTCTTAGACTTTAGAATAATACTTTGGAACGTTAATGCTATTCTAAATTGAGAAAAACTGGTCTCAGAGCGCTCACAGTAAAGTCAATGCAACTGTGGACACCGGGCATACTTTACGCGACTTCAGTCTCCACGCAGTATGGGTATTTGCCAGATGCCTTCATATCCAACACCAGCAGGCTATAAGATGAAACGTCGGATCTTCTGTATATTCAATATGCGCTTGCGATACGCTGTAAACAACTGGAATATTGCCAAGTCGCGACAGGTGACTAAAATTGCGTGAAGTCTGCTCGCATCTTAGCGACCGTTTTGTTCGCGTTTTGAAAGACAACTCCTCAAAAAGATCGTACTTCCAGAATAGATCCGACATTCATGAATGAACAATACATCGTCTCTAATTTTCGGCGCTTCTTTTTTCCATATTTGGTTGGCCTGATTGTCACAAATGGCTGAAAGGACATCAGTGATTATCCAGACATTGCCAATAATTCGATCCTCACTGATGTCCATGGAAAACGCTGCACGAGTCGGTTCTGCAAGGATCAGCATCAGCAGCACACCACGTGTTGGCATACCATGCCAGTAGACTGAACAGCCCCACTTCATTCTGCTGAAGAAAAGCTTGCTATCGCTATCGCTGGAGAGATAAGAGTGAAGATAAAAGCCATTAAGCTGATCGTAAGCAGTGAGTTCTTTTGAAGTAATGAGATCATATCGGGATACGTGGACTGTAATACAGATGTAAGCATCTCACGGTCATGTAAGCTGACCAAAATCTTTGAATACTAGCTGCCATGCTCGCTTCGCCTGACCGCGAGTTTGAATGGCTCGACAAAGAGCAAACTTGGTGCGTAACTCTAAAGGCTCAACTTATCAGCATTTTGGCTTCCATTAGTTCGTATAACACAGGACAGATACCTGCTGACCGCATCGCCTTGAATTACCACATTTCCCGCATTGTGCAGTGAAATAGTTCTACCGCTATTGTGTACACGAAAGCTGAAAGTGGTTCAAAGTACTTGATAGAAGTTCATTTTTCTTCAAATTCGATGAATCAAAGAAGGAGTGGTATCTTCGCCGAGAAAAGTACTATGACGTGGACCGGTGTCGAAAACATACTATGTGTGCAAAGTTTGGCGTTGATTGGTCCACACACAAAAGTTTCTATGAAGAAAGACTGACTGACTAAAATTTACTAGCATTCAGAGTTACATATGTATGGATTTAGTTTGATTTCATTGATTACATAATAGTCTCGACAAGATGGAAACATCCAAAACATGCTGTGCATCGTAGGTCTCATTCGTTTTCCCTTTTCATTTCCGTACTGCTTTTAACAGCTAGAAAATCGCAAAGGGCGCAACAACAAGTTTTTGCTTCAATGAAGGGGCTGGAGTTAATCATTTCGGACAACTTTTAAGATACTCTCCGACTTCTGCGGACCTATACCTAAGAAATTTTTTAAAGGACTTATTTGGGTTCTTAGAAATTTTGAAAAATATTTCAGTTATTTCAAGTGAAACAAGTAACTTGCGCCATTTATTAGGTTGATGCAAAAGTTCTTTCCCCCCATTTTCAAAAATTCATAACTTCCGAATTTTTCAACCAATTTGGCTGACCTTATTTTTGTATAAAAGAGTAACTCATGCTCTTCATAATGACATCTTAGCTGCTTGCTAATGATCATCTGTTGCATAGATAGGAGCGATAGAAAAATTAGTCAAAATTTAAATTTTCTGTGTAGGGTCATAAAAAATCGGAAACTTGCAAGAAAAATCGGAGCAGTCAGTGTTGTAGGTTCTTTTACCAGCTCTTTCTAACAGTGCGAAATTTGAGCCGATTGAGCGTCTCCATGAAAAGTTATGATTTTGGAGCAAGCAATACAAAAGGGCGATTTTGATTTATTTTGGCATTTTTCAGGAAAATCATAACTTTTCGTAGAGACGCTAATTCGGCGCAAACTTTGCACTGTTAGAAAGAGCTGGTGAAAGAACCTACAATACCTACTGCTCCGATTTTTGTTGCAAGTTTCCGATTTTTAATGACCCTACACAGAAAATTCGAGTTTTGACTAATTTTCTTCTGTCGCTCCTATCTATGCAAACGATGAACATTGGTAGGCAGCTAAGATGTCATTATGAAGAGCATGAGTTACTCTTTCATACAAAAATAAATGCAGCCAAACTGGTTGAAAAAATCGGAAGTTATGAATTTTTGAAAATGGGGGAAAGAACTTTTGCATCAACCTAATATAATCCATTCTAGCTACTTTCAAGAAATTCGTGACCCATTTTCAAAGAGGGACCTCCGTCCTCGGTCCCACTCTGGAATTTGAATAAGTGGGAAGACATCGCGGGAAGTTTGAGAACACATCTTTTTTTTTCTTTGCAGATAACTGAAACGACTCTTCAAAATTTGATCAGTCACTGTGAAAGTGATTTCTGGAGTATCTTACGTCGCGTCTCCCTATTGAAAAGTTCATTGTCGATCCATCCCCCCCCCGCAGAGAAAAATTTGGTAGCTAGTGTGCGTGAGCACACAGCTTTGTAAATATATTATCCAAGAACTACGAGAGGAGGTTGCTGCTCTTAGAGTATAAAACTTCATTATTTTCCCTACTTTTACAGAATCTAGTCAAAAATGATTTAAGAAATTCACATTGGGTTTCCATATTGTAAAAGACCTTATGAACTTTTTCAACAAAACCGGCTTTCGAAATGTCAACATCATGCTCCTCTATTCTTCTCTATCTATCTGAAAGGATATGTCGTTAAATCGCCGCGTCTTCATTCCAAATCGTCCTTCGTTTTTTTCAAAGGTTTCCACTATTGTTTGGCTTCTTTAAGAAATAATTATGTTTAATTGAGCGAGCGTACCTGACATGCTTACTCTCTCATCTCAACGTTATTAATCTGAGCCAGTTCCCTCGATGACCCTCATAATACCCCCTTTAAATTGGTCATCCATGTAAAACAGGTCACTTTTGTTGCTAATACCTCCACTTAGCAGAAGAAAATTCGAAAATTGAAGTTTGCATTCCTGTTCCTTATTGTTAGTGCAATGACTTTTTTTAATTTCAAAAACAGTTAATAAATAACAAGAAAAACTAAATTCACAAGGTCTTGTTTTTGAAGCATTTGTCACTTGCACCCAAAATAAAAATGTAACATACAACTGAATGCACAAACCCATTCTGCCGGATTCCAGATTTCTCACCTGAAATTTCAGAAAACAAAAATAACACTTCAGGATTATACGTACGTGGAATTACAAAATCATAATAGACTTCCGCGTGGAATTACAAAGTCATAATAGAAAAATACTAAATGGGTATATGTATTCTATGAAGCTATAGTAGTTGACGTATTCACCAATGAACTTTACGGTTAAAATGAAGCCCATTTTCGCATCAAATTTACTAACACAAGGTGAAAATCGACATCAATTTGCTCATTTTGCATGTGGCAGTGTGACTGTACATTATTCCCTGAAAGGTTTTTTACAAGGCTAAATCCTGAAAGAAAATTTCTTAGAATCAATTCAATTATTAACAGGTATAGACAGATCATTTGCATAACTTGACAACTCAAGTAAGTGACATTTAAAGAATTCCCGATCTCTGGGAACGCCTTCCCACCCCCCCCCCCCTCCTCACCCTCCCGCCTTCGGTCCGCCACTGACTGATTGTGATTGTACTGAAGTAAGCTGGTGCTGTAAGAAAAGTAGCGCTTGATCAGCTTTGCATTAATGGATGATGAGATCTTCATGCTTGTGATAGTATTTGCCACTTTCCGGTTTCTTCGTCATCTGTTGGTTGATGGGATTAATTAGTGTTGAAGAGAGAATGTAGAAGTTATCAGCTTTTGCGCACGGTAGTAAAGTCAAGCGCTTTCTTCTGTATATGGCAAGTAAAAGTGTTGAGAGCAATTGAATAACTTTTTCTTACCTCTTGATACTTAACACACCCAAGGGATCGTTCCGGTTCCTCAAGTTTAAGCACACTTTCGCCGGATCTCTTCCAGCAAGTGTCGCGACGTCAATGTGTCAAGTAGCCGTATTCACGAACGAAACATTCCTCATCAACTGTGAGTTTTGTTTTTCGCAGAGATGGGCGAGTCGCCGCGGTCCGTCGGCACCCGCCTAGTCCGCCCCCGTCCCGCCCCCGACGTAATCCGTGTGCGGCAACGAGGAGGAACGGTGTGAGCACGTCTTCAAACACAGCAAATCACGACGTCAGCTTTCGTCTGCTAGCTTCGATCTTTTGCTTTCTGCAGCGCTGATCATTTTATCTCCAATGGAAATCAGGTGGTGATCCGCCGATTTTCCGACCCCCTGTAGAATTTCTGCGATGCAGCGACTTCTGAAGGCTGCCCTAGCTGCTGTGCAGCTGTGTTTGGGTAAGCATCTCGGCTACCTCATGGGAACTTCAGCGTTCAACTGTTGTTTCCAGTGACAAGTGCTCAGCTAAGTGTGAGTCCGTCATTTTTGTTAGTTGACGAGGACTGGGAACTGTCGAGGACGCTGCCAGTGACGATTTGTCCCGCAGCAGCGCAAATAATCGCAGGCGATTCTGCACATTTCTTTTCTGTCGTCAAACTCAATGCTACATGTTCCACACTACGGCTAAACAAAGAACTCGACGCTGATGTGAGTCTTTTTTCACTTCATTTCCGTTTCTCAATCGAGTTTTTCACCGGCTCACCTTTCCGCTTGTTACTCTGCTGGTTCACCCATTTACCTGTACAGCCGTCTAAGTAACTGCTGATCCAACCAGTCTTTCTCGCCTCCCCGCTCCACATATTCCTGTCCTGACGAAACCTCATTGTTTGCTTTGCTGAGGTTTCACAGTTTTTTACTGATCGGCAAAGGGAATAAAATATGTCGACATGTACTTGAAAGCTCAAATATCTGGAATTTTTCAAACGTGCGAAACTCAATTATATACGATTCTTTTCAAAGTAAATGTATGCTCATCTCCATTCGTCCGCTCATCCTTATATGTCTACAACTTCCATGTGCAATTATTTCTCAGACATTTCAACATCATATCAACAATACTTCATCTCAACATATCAAAACGAAGGCAATCGATAATTAATTTTGCTGAATTCAAATTCCTCAAGTCCTTGAATGTGTTTTTCTCAAGCACATGCTCGAACCCATGCTATAAATCCATCACTTCCATCGATCCCCTTTGCTTCCCATGGTATTTCCCCTCCCCTCCTCAGTTCCCAACTTCTCCCCCTTCTCGACAAGCCTTGGTCCATTGCGAAGTGCTTCATCACGTCTTCAGAGACTGTGAGCTGAGCCCATGTGTTGTCCGAACGGCTTTTACCCGTTCGGGTCAGCCCAAGCCGCATTCCGTTCGTCCCGGTCCGCTGCTCGTTAATTCCCCTACGCAAGTGCAGTAGCCCCCCAAAAGTGTATAGCGGTGAGCAGTCGTGACTCGAGGTTCAAAGGTTGACGATTTTCCCGAAAAGGCAGTTAGCTGATTGCTTCGGTGACATGACTGACGGGGCCACCTGCGTCGGCATTTTCGTTGACGAAAAAATGCTATTGTTGGCTAGTGAAGGTTTGGCGCAGAGTGATTGGTCTTGGTTTTTTGGCCAAATGAAAAGTGAGGTGAAGGGGAAATTACAGGTTCAAAGAATATCTATGGAAAACCCTTTGTACAATGAAGTTTTATAGAATTGATAGAATTTGATCAATTTTATGCAGTACTTCAGAAGTTGGTAGAATAATAAAAGATAAAGAATTACAAAAATTTGCATTTCCCAAAATCGCCTGATTGATTCTAAAGTTTTGATATGAAAAATTTTCTCTCTTTCCGTCGCCTTCATTTCTTTTTCTTCACCGACAACCACCTCAAGAAGAGAAAAATATATCTATCCTATTTGCTTTCATATTCTTCCAGTAAATAGAAGAAAGATAGGATTACCACCTCAAAAATCGTCAGTGTAAGGGAATGTTCGTGAATATTCAGGAAATCTTTGAGGAAGGGAAAAGTAAAGTTGTCCTCTTTCTACTACACAAGCAGTTAATTCTCATATAAATGCAAAGTATCTGAACATTGAAAAAGTTGCTTTTTAGTGCAATCTCGTTGCTTTCTGTTAGATTATTTATTCACAATGTTTACTTTCTGCACTGAAGTTGGACCATATGTGTCACACATGTTTCAAAGTAGGAAGCAAGATTGTTATTTATAGCATTAGTTACGAACTATAAATTGAAGCATTGTTGGTAGCAAGAAACGTGCCTTTTATAGGTTGTTGATCTCCACGGCAATATTCCATACCTTGTGGTGCCTTTTCAAATTGACAGATATGAGTTATCTAATGAGTACTAGATTTTGTGGGTCTTGAACATCAATTTCGGAAAGAGTTAGATTATGTTCGATGTTATCATCAATGAACGACGTTCGAGGGTCGTTACCCGCTTTATGTAGTGGAAATCAGGTAGTCAAATGTAGAAAAAACCTTCTATAGGTATTGAAGGACAACAGATCTGACCCAGTTCCTTCGTAAACCATTAAGGAACAACTTCAACCCCGACAAAGACATTGAATCATTGCCGATAGGGAGAAAATGATTGATTTGAAAATGTATTTCATCGCGAAATTTACATCGTAGAAAAGTTACATTGCTTATTATAGGCTGACCGTAACTAACTTTATTCCTTTAATCAATTATGACAACTGTTCCTATGTTCCCAAAATTTTCAACTGCCAGAGATTGTCGTTTTCAATTTATTCATTTAATCTTCAACGCTCTTAGACTCACAAAAATTCAAAATAGTACACAATTCCGGAGACATTAATATTGCTCACAAAAGAGAGGAAAGCTGAAGAGGGTAATAGTAAACAAAAAGTTCTGGCATTTAGTAGATAAGATTAAGAACAAGACACGAGACAGTTCCAATGATTTATCTGTTTTTTAATGCCGGAATCTGGAATTGCGTCAAAGAAAATGTGACATTTTGAAGTTGTATAAAAAAACATGGATCTCAGAAACTGCTAATCAATTTTATTTATTTACTTCATCAATGTCATTTGATTTGTCACCAACACTGTGTGTCTTTCCATCTATTGCTTTTCCTAATTAGCCAATCTATATCTGCAAGAATTTCTCAGCATTCATTCAAACTGGTTGTTATCGAACCTATCCGTATATCAATTTTATCTGATCGGCAAATACTGTCAATACTTGTGCATAGCTCATCAATTTTTTCATTCGCAAAGACTCCTCCTCGTTCATTTCAAACTAGTTCTTATCGTTGCTTAATCATGACTCTCCTAACGAGTGTTCTTCCTCTAATAGGATTTACACTTGTACGCTTGCAGTTCGCAATCTTTCGTTCAAATAAGCAAATCTTCTCGTCGAAACCACCAAAGCGCTTTTTCACCCCCCAACGCAAACTTGGTTGGTATTCATTTTTACACTGATGCTCAATGCTGGCACTACTTCTTTTGGTTTGTAAAATCCTAGACCGCCAAATAAAACTTCCGATCCGGTCTTGCGCACCGAGTTTCCATCTATTGAATGTTCGCTTTACATTATGTTTTAGCACGATTTCCAACGCAATGCAGCCCCTAACTCGGACAGAAAGACGGGTTAATTTGACGAAACCGGCGACTTTTGACAAAACCGTCTGAACACTGCTTGATATAAAATGATTTTCACGAGATCGTACCTTGTTCTTGGAAAGCGAGTAATGCAAGAAATTGATAACTTTCAAGTCTTCTAAAATATTTTCGTCAAATAGATTTCTTTAAAATCGCAGCGACGGAATAAATGCCACGAAATCGTCGCACCCCGTGACTTCTGTTTAAATAAAATATTGCTATTTCTAATTGATGCATCAACTCCAATCTGTCGTCGCTCTGAAAACATAAGGTAAATTGTAAAATAATTCAATCATGGTTAAATACCGAGTATACGACGGTTTCAACGATTTTTTTGTTTCATTTTCGGCGATTCAGCGAAAACCCTTTCAATGAAAGTAAATCTAAAGCATATGATCTTTCTTCGAATTCTTGCATTATTGGTTTTCCAGAAACCACCGTCTGATCTCGTAAAAATCATTTTGGACCTAGTTACGGGGTTCCGACGGTTTCTCGAAGATTATTACGCCACAATCCATTCCACCCCCCCCCCCTCCTCTAGTTAGGGGCTGTAATGTACATGCAAATGTGAGCAGGGCTTCTTCCTTTGCTGGGTTAGTGTATGTGGATAATTGCTGGTTAACCGTGTCCACATATGCTAATCACTGCGGTGCGGATAATTGCCAAAGGATTAAGGATGCGCTTTACTCGCCATCGGTTTAGCGCAATCCTGCCTCTGAATCGTGTTGCGCAAAGCGTTGCCGAGCGGAATAAAAGCAGTAATTGCTGCTGTTCCTTGGACTAGCCAGAAATAATGCATTCGTTCGTTTCGTCTGCATTTGCGGACGCTGATTGAGCCGCTACTGGCTACGGCCACTCTTATGTTATGCAGGTAATTGGCCGTTCAGAAGCCTCATCAGTCTTCGAATCAGAGACCTGACGCGATCTGGCTTCGAATATTCATGAGATCAGTCTTGAATTGAGCCAGAATTGCATGGCTTGATATGTCAAACTTGACAGTGGGAAGGGGCGGAAATCAGGGAAAAATGAGCCATCTTCTTTCCATAGAAACTCCATCAATCTAACTTAGAATGACCTCCAGCGATGCGTGACAGTCTTTTTACATTTAATGATTATTTATGAAAGTAATTTTCGGCTGCTAACTTGGTGCTTGTCAAAATTATCCTGGACATTTATCTTGTCCCAAGGACACTCAAATACGAGGTTGTTCGTCATTTTTTATGCAAATCTTGAAGGTGTTTACGAAAAATAATCGTCAAGATCTGTTCCAAGATGAAATGCACACCCTCTGATCCGTAATTTCCGGGTAAGAGGTTTAGAGATGTAATCCACCCCGGATTAGCAAGTGATCCGTTTTTCAAAGCAGTCAAGACTAGCTTAGGGGTAAAAATAAGATCACTGTAATCCCATGAAACAGATCTTTCAGTAGTCTGAAAAACAGCTTGAGCAGTGAGAATGGATGTTTCATGGATTTAAAATGTACCGAGAGCTTTTCAAAACCGGTCAGAAAGAAGTCGAAAGAAGTTTTTGAAATAAACTTGCAAAAATTTATAATTCTTATTTATTATTTTATTTTATTTCTTGAAAAAACTTTTTGCTTCGTTTTCTTCGTTCTTGCGCTATAGCCTTCCAGTCGTTCTCCCGCAGCTTTGTCAGTGGACTTTTCCAAATGATTGATATGTGAAACAAGGAAAACCCCAGAAGTTGTCAAAATCACTAAATTGAGCTCTAAAGCTGGCACTAAACTGGTCCCTGTCAGAGCGCTTTGAGACCAGATTCTTCCCTGGCAACTCGGTTCTTCATCGCGGCGAGTTAGGTACGGGTTGCGCTTTTCATCCCGAACGTTGTTCTTTCGGGGAGCCAGCCTGTGTGACAAAAGAAGACGGTCAGTCCAGTGCCTATGTGAAGATAGGTGCAATTTTCGGCACTTGACGCCTCCCCCCCCCCCTCCGTGCATGTTTCCTGCGCGAGCCGAGTGCAACTCGTTCTGTTTCGGGGAGACGTTTTTCCGAAGAGAGACTGCGAGTCTTCTTCCCGATTTGTGGTCGGGTGATGGCTCTCGAGGACGAGTTTTCCGCGTCGTGGATGAACACTAGAAATACGTAGTGTCGTTTAGAAGAGGCCCGAAGACTGTTCATCTTCCAGTTAGAGAGGAAACCTATTAGTTTCTTTTACAAAGAAAACTTCTGAAGTATTGCGCATAGTTTTACTTTCTTTCGTACCAGCCCCCCGTTTATCCGGACGGTCACCTTAGCCTACATAGTCAGAAGTGGGGAAACACCCACATTTAACCGACGACCCGATTAGCATAACGTGATGAAATTTCGCGACCCACGTTCCGAAGGATGCGCACTGATTAGCGCTTCGTCAACGACGAGTTGCGCACTTGCCACCGGGGTAACCCGCCACGTAAAACGGGGTCGGAATATTACTTGACCCGTACTTGAATACCAAGGACAAGAACTCGTGCCGTTCGTAAACATGAGACAGTGTGGGCAATTTCGGAGATGAAAGTTTAGCCGTTGAGTTCTCCAAAATTGGATTTGCAAGGTCGTGGGGCAGGAATATGAGAGAGAGAGTTCTAAATTTCGCTATTTTTACAAGTTCTAGGTGGAATCTGCCGACGGTTCTCATGGCGAATCGTTCTCTCTTGTACTGCAAGGTCCCAGGAGGGCTCGGGCAACTTTGGAGATCCAAGTTGTGGATGTAAACGATAATCCACCCCAGTTTATGAATCCACCTTCTATGCTTACGATACCTGAGGTCATTGTCAGCTCTACTCAATGCCCATCTATACGAAAAATAAATTTTAAGAATTCACCCGTTGGTTCGGCTGTCACTAAACTAACAACTCGAGATGTGGATACGGGAATATCCGGGATGGCAAGATTCTCGGTGGATGTAAGTCTAAGAACTAATTTCTTTTTGATTTTTCATCTGAAAAAAATCCCCAATTTCAGAACGACTTTTTTACTGTGGACAAGGCCAAATGTTATAACAATGAGTGTCACACAGTTCTACGGCTGGCAAAAACATTAGATTTTGAACGGTAAATCTAGCGTACTTGAAATTCAAGGATTTCAAAAGTTCGTGTTCTAGCCAGCGGGTACACCACATCGTCGTAAAAGCCGAAGATGGTAATCCTCATGTGAACCGAACTAATGTGATTACACATGCACTCACTGTTCGGGTTGGCGACGAGAATGAGTACGTCTATTTTTATCCGTAGTTTTCGCCAGAAGTCAACCTTTTTGTTTCCAGTGAACCTCCAGTATTCGTCACCGATCTTTCCCGAACGATCCAACTTCCACCCCGAGCCGATGTTGGCGATGAAGTGCTCGTATTGAAGGCTGTTGATGGAGATGAGACGTTTGTTAATGAAACGAAGATACGGTAATTCAACTTGTGCACCTCAGATCAGTAGTGAAAATATTGAGCTGCTGTTTAGGTATTCCATGGAACAGAACGAGTTTATGGCTATGGATCCAGAGACAGGCGTTGTACGGCTTTTAAAGAAGCCAAGCGGTGTTATTGTGGTCAAGGTCAAGGTGGGTCCAGAGGTATTAGATTGATCAATAAATTTTGCACAATATTTTGAAAATTCATAATCTTCTTTTTTTCCCAAAAAATTTGCACGATCCAATATATTTCGGAGAGATCATGTACTTGGTAACTGTCAAGTATTTCAACAAATCGGATGATGTTATTTTTTAACTCAGCGATTTTATTTTAAATAAAATGTGTAGCATTTGTGAGGTACAAGCAAACTTATCAAAGTGCGATTCATATTGAAACACTCTTCCAAACAATTTTGGAAAATATCAGCTCTTTGATGTAAGATCTGCGGATCAACTCAATGGATACCACAACGGAATTCAAGCTTTTTTCCTGAACAAAAATGCCTATTCTATTGAATTTGTATCTGTCTTTTTTCATATCCTTCCTCTCAGGCCAAAGAAGAAAATACATCTGGTATGGAAACTGTACGTGAACTGCGAGTAGAACCTCATCCTGAACCCACTCCAGAACAGCAGGTGAAATGATTTCGCTATCAGCTTCGGTTAATCTTTAACAGTTTGTAACTCAGAGAATAATCGAAGAGGAGCTGTATTGTTACTTCTACATCTAATTACAGACATCTGGTCAATTATGTGAGGCTAGCGACTACACTGCCAAAATAACGGAAGGAACAACGCAGTTTCTGCAACCTTTAGAAATAAAGTTTGTCAATCCTGTGGTGAGTTTGTCGATATCAAGTTTCTTATTTCATAACGAGTTTTTGCATTAGGTTGGAAGAAAATTTTGAAAAAGGTGACATGTTGTACAATCATTTACACAATTTACTAAGAATTTTGAACTGATTCGCTTCTTTCCATTTGTTTGTAATGCAACATCTAATGCTATTCATCTCATAAATGTAAATGGCTCTCGCAAACCAGTAGGTGTCCTCCTCATGACTGCCCGCTCATTCGACGATCTCTTAGCAGTTTTTGTCCTTTCTGGTTATTCTAACGATTCCGACGAGTTGGGCTATCCGCTTGCAATACATATTTTCAAGAAAAGTCAAACTAGATATGTAGATTAGGTTTGCTTAGCAGCGTTGTCTAGGTATTACATTACGTTAGACACAGCGTATAAACATTGAAATTGGCTTGAGAATTCCTAAACGATCAAACTCTTAATGCCTCTGTTAGATATTTTTACTCCGAAAGTTATTTTCTCAGCGAAGTATGAGGGGCTCTAAAGGCTATGAAACTTTGATTAGCACTCAAATGCGATGTTCGTGCGCCGAAAATCACAGTTTGAAATCATAATGGGACAAAACGGTTCTTCTAAAATTACAATACTTTCAAATTTTTCCTCATCGTAATGGCTTTGTCATCGTCTTCAGTAAATTGTGGAGATATTTTGCAGTTTATGTTGACACATTATTGCGCAAATTATCGTGTCCTGAAGGCTGAAAATCTTGATGTAGAGAGACCTTTTCTTACAGAAACGACAAAGATTTCTGTAAAACCGAACATTTGAAAAACTCAAAACTTTCTTTTTTCTATGCAAAGAACGTATACATCCAAATCATATGGATTCTTCACTTGAGATTCTTGAAATGGGAGATGCGAAGAAAGATTCTTGTACTAAATTTAACCTAAAAAGTCTAATCATCCAATCTGTGAATGACAAAACTGAACTGCGATAAATAAATGCCCTTTTATTATAGGATCCATCCTCAGTACAATTAGAAGATGGCAGCTCTATCTTTGATATCAAGGAACCTAAAGAAAATAGCAGTATTACCATAACTGTTGTCGATCCTACAAAGCTTGACTTTGAAAAGCAGAAGATTGTGGAGTTTTATGTTAGTTTTCAGACTTTCAAGTAAATCCTAAAATTGAAAAAAAAAATTTGTTACAATTAGGTCACTTCTCCTACCGGTCGTTGTCGTGTAAGGGTGGAGGTCCTAGATGACAATGACAATGCTCCAAAGTGCGTACATGACACATTCACTTTCTACGTTACTGAGAATCACAAGCCAGCTGTCTTGGGTGAAGTAAAGGTTCGTGGAGATCATTCCTTCAAAAAATCCTCACCTTTCACTTTTCTAGGCTACTGACCCCGATTCAGACCTGTACCTGCCCATCAAATATAGCATCGGTGGAGAAGGAGCTGGTTTATTTTCTGTTTCTGAAAGTGGAGAGATTCGTAACCTGGCACCCATAGATCGTGAAATTCATGACAAATTCAACCTAGCTGTGAGAGCTACCGATGCTGGAGGTAAGGATCTCACTGTATTTTTGTGTGAGGATTTCAAGAAACTTCCTTGTAGGTAGATACACCGATTGCCTAGGCAAGATAGTTGTGAAGGACATAAATGATAACACTCCAGAATTTGAACACAATGAGTATATAGTCGAAATTGACGAAGAGAAAACCGTAAAGCAGAAGCTGGAGGTAATGACCATCTACCGAACCTACGGCACCCTCCTCAACCAATTTTCAGGCCACGGACCCAGACATAGGTGATAATGGCCAAATAGACTACTCATTGGAAAATGTTCCCGAGGGCTTGCCCATAGATGCTTCCGCTGGGATCCTCTTCATTGGGAAACTGGACAGAGATACTATGGAGTCTGATGAGATCAAATTCATCGTGAGAGCTACGGATCGTGGGGAGCCGCCTAGGAGCTCTACCACGAATGTCACAATCAAAGTTTCGGTAGGTTATGAAATCTTTTTTTCGGAGCCGATTCTTATTCTATGTGCCCAGGACATCAATGACAATTGGCCTTCGTTCACTAACTCCAAGTACTCTTTAGTGTTGGACGCTAACATTAGCCCTGGAGGGGTAAGAAAGCCAAAGTGCTGCCAAAAATTTTTTCTCAGATATCATTTTCGTTATTCTAGGTGATAGGATCAGTCAAAGCAGACGATGCAGATGCTACGTCTCCAAATAATCTAGTTCATTACTTATCCGAAGATAAAAGATTCAAAGTGGTAGAGACAGGAGAGGTCATTTACATAGGAGATGGAGTTCTGAGTAAGGTTAGATATTACATCAACAACGTTTTGTTCCACAATCAATTTTCGCTCGCGAAAGTTTTCCAAAAAAAATTCAGCAACCCTTGGTAATCTTCTATTCTGAAAAACTCAATCTAGGACACCTCGCTGGAGTTTCGTGTTCTTGCCATAGACGGTGGTGATCCTCCGCGGAACAGCTCGGCTACGGTAGCCATAAATGAACACCGAGCGTCGATGCAAAGTGAGCACAAGGCGGAGATCATGTTAAATGAGACAGCGCAAGGGTGAGAATTGTCTTACGCAAATAAGAATTCAAAAACGATGAATTTTTTTTGATTTTTGTAGTGCGTAAAATTGAACTGTTGATAATCTTTCCGTTTCTATCTTTTCAGTTGGACTGGATTCTTGCCTATTATATGAATCGACTGTTGAATTCTGGCAATATAGTAAAAAAGCTAATGAAAATAGTAATGAAAAAAACCCTCAGAAAAGCGAACAAAAAACTTTTCGTTGCGGCTACGTTTATTTCTAGCTCTGAAGAAGGCAGTATACGGAAAACGCGCGTACACGCATTTTTTTACAACTTTCCTACCTTAATGAAAGTTTGCAAAATTGAAGTAGAATTAACTTCTCTGTTTGCTGTTCAATGAAAAAATCGCGCTTGGAATGTCGTTTGAAATGCTTACAAAGCTACATCATTTCCTCTGTATTTTGTTCATCAAAAATGCATGAAGAAGATCTGGAACTTGTAAAAAATCTTAATAATTTGTACAGTTGGTTATAAATGATTTTTGAAGGACCGAAATCAAGTGGGCGAACGCTCGTATGCCTGGGTACACCTACGAGATTATGAAAGCCGTCTCGGAAGGTTTTCCCGTAAGTCCAAATTTACTTTTGTCAAAATAGGATGTATGAAGCTTGCATTGTAGAATGAAGAAGTTTTGCAATGGTTGGATATCGACAGCACAACAGGCATGATTCATACGAAGAATAAGCCGATCCCCGAGAAAGTCAAGCAGATTCGTTTGTTCATAAGCATGAGAAAAGGGAAGCGAGAGGTTCCGGGTAAGTAAGATTAATGAAAGTATTTAGGGGTGGGGCCTAGCTGGGTAATCACTCAAGTTCCGTTGCAAAAAATGAACTTCGAAGCGAGAAAAACGCTCTAGAACGCAGAGTTGGCCCAGGTCGCTCCGCCCATCAAAGTGAGTGGTCTGTAGATAATGAGCTCGAAAGCGGGTTTCAGTGTAGATAGAAAAGTCAAGAATCTGATAATCATAATTGAAGGCGGATCCTAGACCACTCATTGACGGGATTAACCACTTGGGTCGCTTTCACTTTCTGAACGCGTTGTTCTCTCTTCGGAATTCATCTTTTGCTGCAAGACTTCTGCGATTACTTAATCAGGAGACTCGCTAGTATAAATCTTAATAAGGGTGGACGACGCCTTCAAAATGTAGAATTTCTCAGATAAAAGGAATTCAGTGATTTAGTGGAGCTCATTATCAGCGTTGTGGACACTGCGGATACGTCACCATTCTTCAACAAGGACAATTTCATAGCAGTAATCTCTGAAGATGCCCGAGTTGGGACGCGTATCCTCCAAGTGAAAGCTGAAAGCGAATCAGCGCTGAAGTAAGTCTCGAAATGTAGGCCTGTGCCCTGTCTGCTAGTCTTCTCCTGCTTTGCATTACTGTGATGTCTCTCTCCTTTCACCCTTGCAGGTACTCACTAGAAATTCTCAAAGGCCCTACCGATGTGCTAGAAATTGACTATGATGGCTTCATCCGTAATAAGGGCAAACTCGATTTCGAATCATTTCGCGCCATTAGCGGCCGGGTTCACGCCGTCGATGAGAACGGAAATGAAGCCGTCACTAACTTTTCCCTCATTCTCACCGATGCCAATGATAACAGGTGCTTCCACTAATCATCAATGTTGTGTTTGGCATGTGCTCTTCTAGATGGCTCGCTCAAATATTCGTCTATTCCAGACCTGTATTTGTCAATGGCTCCGTATTTACGGTACAAATCGACGAATCTGCGGAAGTGGGTACAGTTCTTAATCTACCGTATCCGCTGGCTAGGGATGGAGATGTTGGAAACTATTCGCGATTGCTCTATTCGTTAGTAGGCGACGATGGACATTTTACCATAGATAGAAAGTTTGTGTGGTCTTTTCATCATTTGTGAAAAATACCGTCAAAATTTTTCAGGACATCAAAGATCAGCGTGTCATCGAAACTTGATTATGAAACGCAACGCTCACATTCGCTTACAATACGGTGTGTAGACAATGCTGGTGAAGAACCCTGCAATGAAGTTTTCGCTTCGGTCAGTTTCACGATTCACTGTCCTCATGAGGGGTGCATGCTTTACAAATGAGCTAGTTTAGGTTACTGTGCTCGTGCGCGATGTTAACGATAACACTCCGATAGTGCACAATGCCGACCTCACTCATCTTACCGTATCCGAAGACACTCCAGTTGGGACCACTATCACTGTTGTTAGCACTAGCGATATGGATGAAGGTAATCTGACTTGCACTGAAATGTTGGAAACGAGGCTAATCCATACTTAGGTGGAAAGCAAGAAGTAAAATTGAGCGTTAATCACACTCTCTTCCGCATTGCTGACGAGGGAAAATTAGTTGTTGCGGAGAAATTGAATGGATATGCTGGAGAGAGAGTAAGTTTTCTGAACATCCCAAAAAAATTCGTTGCTTATACCAAGAACTTGTTTTACAGTTATGTTCCACTATTCAAGCCAAAGATAGCGGAGATCCCCCTCTGTCTGTGACATATCCATTTTGCGTTACCGTATATCCTGCTTCAAACGACCATTATAGCCCTCTAATTGGTTTGTATATTTTTTAAGTATTTTGTTAGCACAATGCATTTCCTTGTTTAGTGTTCCCCAAGCAGAATTCGATACATTACTTTGACGAGAATGTACAGTATGATGAATTATTGCGAATCAAACTGCTGGCTGAAGAACACATGGGTGAAGTAACGTTCAAATTTGATGAAACTTTTAAGAAGGTAAGTTCAGAAAATTATTTAAAAATAGAATCAAGCTTGCTTAATAGCAGTGTCCATTCAAATTCGGAATTCTGGCTTTTCATTTGATACTGATTGAGATTCTTGAACAAAATCCTCGCCCGACCTGGAGCTTATACAGATTGTAGCTGAAAACACAGCTTTGAATCTCCGCCCAGATCGTAAACTTTTCGTGCGCACCATTGGGTACCGTACCCGAGGGCGTGATTGGCTCGCTCGGAAATTGTCTGAGGGAGAAATTAGAGTTTCTTCGGCCTTGAATGAACCTTAAGAACTGCTGCTTGAGTAATGACTCAGTCAATGACTCAGTTTCATATGAGGAGGCAGGACTTGAATTTGCTCGGGCATTACCTATAAGCTTACTAGATAGTACCTCATATTAGTGTAAGTTTTCTTAACAGATAAAGCCTACCTTCAGGACTGGGAACATTTCTCACTGAATGCTTCCGGCTCCCTATCGGCAAAGGAACAATTCGACTTTGAGAAAAAACCTGTACATGAGCTAAAAATTCTGGCGTGTCGTCATACGAATTGCTCTTCGGTACATGTCTTCATATCAGTGAATGACCGTAACGACAATTGTCCAATGTTCCCTAAGCAGGTAATTTGTGGATCATTTGCGTAATCGACCAAATCGGTTTCTCTTCAGGGCTTCCATTTGACTGTTGTGGAGAACGACCGATCACCGTTACCGAGACAACTTGGCCGAATACCAGCAGCTTTAGACGGGGATTTCCACGCTGATAATACCAAGGTACGCTCTATGAAAGACGGATTCTCTCTTGATATGGATAGAACTACTTTCGTCAGTTTTTTGAATAATTTAATGTGAGTATGGCGCTCCTCTCTGCTTCCTTTCTTTCTTTGCTCTCCTCGCAACTTTTGTTTTTTCTTAAAAAGCCTCGCTGATCAAAAATTACTTTACCAATGATTTAGGTTTGCTATGGTAGCGAATCGCCACTGTTCTTCTTCCTCGAGCCAACACTGCCAGTACTTTACACCAATCAGAGCTTCGACCGTGAGCAAAAAGACGAATATAAGTTTAGGGTAAGGCTTTCTTATAAGGTCTCAGGTCCTAGTTCTGAATATTTCTATGCAGATCATCGCATATGATTGTCACTCGGCTTGTCGTGACCCTCACAAATCCACCAACGGCACTATAATGGGAGTTCTAACAGTGAAAGACGTGAACGATAATTTCCCGAAATTCTCCGAGAAAGCCTACTATGCTACGGTTATACAGGTGAATTTTGTCACTACCAAGCTAATTGCAAGATTTTCAATAAAAAGTTAAGGGTCACGCATCTCCTGGAAGCCATCTGGCACAGGTTACTGCCACCGATGCCGACGAGGAGGTTGAAGGCTTGCGCTATGCTATTTCTGGCTCGATTAGGACACCAAAACAGGTACGGGCAATTAGCCAAAAAAATAAATCAATTTATTCTGAGCTGACCAAGTTGTTACATAGCAAATGTTTTCAGAGTTTTTCGCTTGCCGATTCACCGATATCAATCGATCCAAAGACAGGAGAATTGTCAGCAAATGAGCCATTGCGAGAAGCGAGCTACTCGTTCACAGTCACTGTTACCGATGGTGCCAATCATGACGATTCGGCCAGTGTTGTGGTTAGTTGATCGATATATTGATTATTAGTATTGGGCAAATCAATAACGTTATAGATATCGGTTGTCAGCTATTCGCAGCAAACAGAGCTTCTCTTCGATGCTCCATTTGAGTTCATTGTCAGAAATGAGAAGAATATTGTGAAGTAGGCATCCTCTACATTTTAGAAATCATAAAGAAAGCTAAAAGAAAATTTCAAGGCTGCTCTCCAATGCCACATCTTTGACGGCTGTTGTGGATCGGTGCCGGCAAAATTTGAATTTTACTGTAGTCTTGGCACATTTCCTAGACGATCAGGGAACATTTGTTGAAGTCGACACAGCTTTAAGGTTCGCATACACTAGAGTTCGTCTCATTTCCTCCAAGTCTAACAATTTTCTCAGGAGGCTAATGTCATCGAACAGTACAGCTAGACGTGAACTGCGCAATGCTTATGGTCTTCGAGAGAAAATACCGTTGACGGTTAGCAGCTTTATGGGTCTGGAAACAGTTATTGTAAGTTATTCTTCCTTCTCAGCCAGAAGTAGTCAAAATCTTTACAGCTGGCTGTGCTGATCGCTGTATTCATTCTGCTTGTGCTGTGTATTTGTTTGTATTGTCGGCAACGACACTCCTATGGACGTAAATTGCGTCAAATCACCAATCAGACTAATGCTCATAACGTCTCCATAAGTCGACAACCAACACAGTAAGTTTATCTTATCCTGAGCATGGTGAGAATATGGCCATTGTATTCTTAAAAAATATGAGATTTCCCGTATGCGAAATGCTCCGTTATTTTCTGCAAGCCGAAAAATCAGAATGTTCCTTTGTTAATGTTTATTACAGAGGAGTTGAAATTTTGATTGAAGTTACTAGCGATTTAACGAACTAAAATCAATTTGCAACTGCTTCACGCATCATTTTCATTTGTTCCAAACTCCACTAATTTTCAAAATCTTGATTTTAGAACTTCGCAAAAAGAGAGTGAATCTTGAGCAAAAAAGCAATTTCGAGCAATACGTGCGATTTTCAATTTTACCAGTGTGCTGTTTGACGTACTACAAGATCAATTTTTTTATATAATTTTTGGTAAGAGTGACGGCACATAACAGGAGCAGAGACAAAGCCGGAGTTCTCGCGAATGTCTTGTGTAAATTCCATTTTGATTCGTTTTAAACACATAATTTTTGGAGCACCATTTAATCCACTGGGTGACCAATATTTTTTTGGCAAGAACTCCAATTTTGAGTAAACTCCAATATATGACTCCAACGCCAATATTGAGTAATCTAAAGCTGGATGTAGCAAAAAGGCTGAAATTAACAGTACCTGAGTCAGTGGTATACTCTAGAGTCTAGACATAGGATCAAAAAATCGGACAACTTTGTAAGCATTTTTTTGGCGTATTACCTCCTAAGACTTGTAGGAAAATCAACCCTTACTATGCAACGGATACGGTAGCGACCACTCCGCGGATAATGGCACCGCCACCGCCATTGCAGTCGACGGAACTATAAGTGCTCATTTCTCCTCCATGTGATCTACCCCAATGGCTGCTACGCAAACCCGAAGTGCTCTCTTTCTCCTCTCTGCGTGTGTTTCCAGCAATAACTGACGAGCTCATCTAGTCCTTTTTCCATGTCCTGTATGTTCCGATACAGTACGGTATCGTCACTCACTGCTTATGCTCAATACTGGTGCGCTTTTTTCCTTCTTGTACGATTTCATTTGTTTTGCCAAGTTTGTACTGCGTTATTGCATGACCTCACAATATGTCGGAATACATATTCTAATGTTGTTATGAATCCTTTATATGTAAATTTCGAGTCATCCGAGAATCACCGTTGCCAAAGAATGTGGCTCCAAAACGACATTGTAAAACAGAGTAGGAGTTTGAGCTTCGTTTATTGCGATGGTGTAGGTGGAACTCTGAAAAAGCTATCTGAAAATTTGTAAAATGTGCAAGCAAAAGAAATGGAGAACGATTACATAGGCATAATTCTCAGGAAGATCTCATAAGAAATTACTTACAGAGTCGGTATTCGCCAAAATGACAACTCTTTTATCATTTGGTGTTATGAAAGCAATTTCCTTGACAGCTAATGGTGCCGACTGGTCCAGGGTGGAAAGGATTCTGTAGGAATCTGGCCGGACGAATTTACTGGAAAGAAATGGCTTCAAAAATTTTTGGTAAATTTTTGGGTCAGCGAGTAATCTCCGATATAGCTTCGCCCGAGAATTCCAGAAGATTCCAGAGAGTCTCGGAGCTTTGCTTGCTCTCAAAATGTAACGGTACATATCGTTACGGATCGCCGCAAATGCAAAAATAGCCAGCAACTGTATGACGGTTTCGTAAACAAAATCATATTTTTTTTCGACTTTTCGCTGCCTCCATTGCTTTTCCTCTCCTACAATTCTTGTCGGATAAATTTCTGCGCCTTGTTTTTCTTATAATGGAAGTCTGATGCTTTACCATCTCACAAAAGAGCGTTGCAAAAATCAAAAAAAAAAGAATTTAAAAAAATTTTGCTGTTCATATGCATCTTGCAAAAATTAAATGAAGGCTGAAATAATATTCGAGTCACGAAAACATTCCTTTTTTGAAAACTCCGGATATAAAGGTATAGCATAAATTATCAGTCATCCTAAAAAGAATACTAAATTAATCATAACTGACCTGAAGTGCCCCATTGCATACCACATGGGTTGCTTATAGTACTCCTGTTTGCTCGCATCCACAATGATCGGTGAATCCACGAAATTTTGTGCCCAGTTGGGACCACCTTGCATGTCCAAGCAAAGATTCCAATCCGTCCAACCAGCTACGTAATTGGTGATATCCTTAAAATTCTTTCATTAGAATTTGTTATAATAATGAACAACATACAGTTACGATATCGTTGATGTAGGTCTCAGCACGACCCCAGTCGCCTAGAATGGGTTTGCCCTGGAGCGGGAGATAGCCATTACAAGCCTGAATCAGACGTTCTTTTGAAGAAAGGATATTAGGTATTATAAATTCTTTTTTATCCACCTCCGTCGCCAGCATGAAATATTGCGGATGGCGTTCATGCGTGGTTGTCAGCACCGATGCAGGAACCTCCAGATCTTCATACCAATGAATAGCTATACCAGAAACGTACTGGGCAGCATCTGCGTCTTTCAGAATCTGAAAAATTGTGAAATTCTTAATTACAACGTACGATTTCGAGATATTTGTGGCCTCCTAGATCTGTCACAATTTCGATCTTTTTTGTTCTTATTCCGCAAAAATTCTACATTATTCGTTTCTTACTGTCCTGATCGATGTATGCAACATATCCTGACAAAACTTCGAAAAAATCGTATATACAAAATTGCAAGTAATCTCTGCACAAGTAATCTTGCAAAAAATCTTCAAAATCCTAGAAAAAAGGCAGCCCCGCGAAATGTGGTTTTTGTGGGGGTGATTCGTCAATTCTAATCTGTTAAAAAGGCCCGTTTCTCGAGGGGTTATGGCATTTTCGTCGGCAGAGCTAAGAGTCCATTATGGTCGAAATCCAGTTTCGTGTATGCCCACTATACTTGAGGAAATTCGAAATTTTTTTCGAATATTCGAATATCGAATATATTAGGTCGTTCCGAAAGTTCTTTCCGTTTTTTCCACCTATCATAAAAACACGAGGAATGAAGGTAGGGAAACGCTTCAGGCACTCTCCGACGCAGCTTTTCTTCCTCTTTTCAACTGTCATATTCCTGTGCCGCTTGCTCTTGCGATCAGTGAGATAATGTCTGAAATTTCGAACCCATGGTTTTCACGGTGTCCAACTTTGGCAATTTTTCACAATCTTCTTTTTTAACTTTTGGAGGAGCATTGATAGCAGTCAGATAGGGCAAACAAAGGGCGATTTAATGCAATTTTTTGGCAACTTCATCTGGTTTTTCAGTATATTTTGAGACAACTTTTCCAGAAGTCTTCACTTTTTCGAAGTCACAAAACACAAAAACTCTCCGAACATTAACAATTCTTCGAATTTCGACACCTTCAAAAGTCGTTTATGATTGTCCACTATTTTTACAAAGTAACTCAGTGTTTACCGCTTCGAAATATAAGATATCGCTTTTCGCGTGTACACCACCCTTAGGCGGGTTCAAAATCAAGAATTATGGAAATTTTATCGTCAAAAACTCCCACAAATTGGGAAGAAAAACACTCAATAGAAAGAGGTGGAAAAGCTGCATCAAATGACCCTATAGCCAGCCTTAAAAATTCTTTAGAATTATTTTTCTGATGCTATCAAATCCACTTTTGGTAATGCCAAGAATCATAGAACATAAAACAGCGCACAACTAAGGGTCATTTGATGCAGCTTTTCCACCTCTTTCTATTGAGTGTTTTTCTTCCCAATTTGTGGGAGTTTTTGACGATAAAATTTCCATAATTCTTGATTTTGAACCCGCCTAAGGGTGGTGTACACGCGAAAAGCGATATCTTATATTTCGAAGCGGTAAACACTGAGTTACTTTGTAAAAATAGTGGACAATCATAAACGACTTTTGAAGGTGTCGAAATTCGAAGAATTGTTAATGTTCGGAGAGTTTTTGTGTTTTGTGACTTCGAAAAAGTGAAGACTTCTGGAAAAGTTGTCTCAAAATATACTGAAAAACCAGATGAAGTTGCCAAAAAATTGCATTAAATTGCACTTTGTTTACTCTATCTGAATGTTATTGAAGCTTTTCCAAAAGTCAAAAAAGAAGGATGTGAAAAATGGCCAAAGTTGGAAACCGTGAAAACCATAGGTTCGAAATTTCAGACATTATCTCACAGATCACAAGAGCAATCGGCACATGAATATGACAGTTGAAAAGAGGAAGAAAAGCTGCGTCGGATAGTGTCTAAAGCGTTTCGGTATCTTCATTCCCCGTGTTTTTGTGATAGGTTAAAAAAACGGAAAGAACTTTCGGAACGACCTAATATTCGAAAATAAAAAATTTCGAATATTCGAATATCGAATAAAATTCGAAAATCGAAATTCTCGAATATTCGACTATCGAATATTATTCGAAAATTGAAAATTTCGAATATTCGACTTTCGAATATTATTCGAAAATCGGAAATTTCGAATATTCGACTATTGAGTATTAGTTGCTTTTATGATTGAGCCAACACCAAGATTATCATAGCATTTATTCGGCTAAAGTTTCGGCCTAGTCGCCTTCGTCAGAGCCTATAAAGTGAGGAACATTAGGAATTAACCTCCCAAACATCTCATCACATGCAGGAAAAAGTCCAAGAAGTTGGATAGACTCCCATTAAGGCCTAGAACTATTAGCTCACCTTTTTTGTCAGAATAAGGTAGAACCACCGCTGACTGGGATACGCTAACAATGAGTGAGGCGAGTCTCTGGAGGCTACGCATAGATCAAAACTTGCATGACTCCATTAATGGCGCGAGCTCAGTTGTTACGGCGGTGCATTCTTCTTTTCTGTTCATTTTGGGATTCCGGGATAGAATCCAGCACGCCGCGAGCGTCTTTCGCGCTGACACACATATTGAGTATTATTCGAAAATGAAAATTTCGAATCGAATAATATTCGAATATCGAATATCATTCGTTATTCGAATTTCGAATATTATTCGGTTCTCGAAAGTTATTCGATTTTCGAATATCATTCGATTTCCGAATACTAATCGAATAATTTACGTCATTGGAACTGTCTATGAAAGGCCAAAACACTAAAAATAAATTGTCATGTAAGTGCTAAAGAATGGATACATTCTTATGTTACAATTTACGATGGAAAAACGGTTTAGTCGTGACGTGAAGAGACTTAGGAAAACCTAAAAGCTACTCCTGTGACTTTCATGAAGAGATTTTTACTTCAAAGAAGATTACATACCCTCACTGAGAGTTGCGATTGGATATACAGCGGTCCCAACACTATGTGGATCTGTAGGCTGGCATCAACTTAGAATATGGGGCGATTTATCGATCGCTTTTCAATGTAAAATTACCGTAAGACTGAAGCGGGGTTCAGAACAACAAGAGCAATTTCCCCAAGAAAAAGAACCAAAAGGGCCGAAGGTCTTGCCTCACATTTCTGAAGACATTTACTTTATGTAGAATTTGCACTCAACCGTAATGCTTTTTTCAAAAGTTACGCCAGGTATCCTGTGTTCCCAGAATAGTTCCCATGTGAACCAGCGTGCGTACGTGGTGCGACGCTGCCTTTCGCTCTTTTTGAAACGTTTCTCCTGAGATTTCAACGGAACTGCCCGAGGTTAACACGTCCAAAATAGCGAAAGGCACGAAATGACGTGGTGCCTATGGGAATCTTGCTGGTTAACAAACGATACCGTAACAAGTGTTTTGCAATGCCTTTCAAAAATGTGATTGCCATTTGAAAAGCTTAAAAACTCGTGCGTAATAAAATCAGCATAGGTAAAACACTGCTGCACAGATTTTAGACCTTTTTTGAGGACACTTTTTTCGGAGGTCTTATTTTGCAGTTGGTCTATTAGCTGGAGTTTCCTACTGTGATAACACACAATAAGAAAAACATGAGTGATTCGCTTTCTGCTGTATTTATAAGCTGAAGTCATCCCCACTGGATGTTACCCAGAAATTGGCAAAAGAATGAGAATATTAGCGATCAAACGGTGTGTAGATACTTTTAAGACACCCCGTATACGCCATGCATATCGAATTCTCGAGTTTGGTGCTTATCGAATTTTCGAATAGTCAATTCTTATCGAATTTCCGAATATTCGGTGCACAACGAATATTCGAATATTTGATGGACATCGAATGATCGAATGATTGACCCTCGAATATTCGACTATCGAATAATATTCGAAAGTGAAGATTTTCGAATATTCGACTTCCGAATAATATTCGAAAATGAAGATTTTCGAATATTCGACTATCGAATATATTCGAAAACTGAAAATTTCGAATATTCGACTTTCGAATTTTGTTCGAAATCTCAGATTTTCGAATACTCGACTTTTCGAATCATTCGCATTCGAATGATTTATTCGAATGATTTATGATCGAATAATTATTCGATTCGGTCCTAAGTATAATGCCCACTAAATTTTCTGGGTCTTCCCTCCCCTACCAAATGGCAAAAAAAAGTTGAAGACAAATTAGTGAACAACTAACACTTCTACTGGGTTTTTTATCTCTTTCTTTTTTCCTCTTCCACTTTCTCCCTATTTGCAATGGCTTCCACTTTCTTTTAACGTGGAGCAGGTTCCAAATATCTCAGGGCTTCACAGAAAAATAAATAATATTTTCTTTTTTCTCAATCACATCTTCCACGAAAATGTAAAGCTTACCGTATCGGCCCATTCCGGCAAGTTATATCTTTGATCATCGTTAATCATCAGTTGCAGATTTTTGCCATACGGTGATTTCTTCAAAGCAGGCCCCAGTAAATTCTTCACGAAATCTCTAAATTCCTAGATTTACATTGTCCCTGTTAGGGTTACGATCTAACCACCTTTCCATTCCAGCACTCAAGTACATAGTTTGCCAGCCCCAGTCTGGATTCAGACCAGATGTAGGTTCGTTCTGCACTGTAACTCCCCAGAAGTCAACTCCATTTTTGTGGTACTCCTCGAAAAATCTGAATCCTCATATTCGGAGCATATTCTGGCTCATATAGGCACTTAGTGACCTGATGAAATAGTTGGCCCACGTCTGGTAATAATCACCTCCTTGCTTGCCCTTGAGCTCGCCTCCACCTTTCATCTGTCCATTAGTTTTCATCCAAGCTGAAAAGCTTCACAAATTCAAAAAAAATAAACATTTGACCTTTCGCAGAGAGAAATCGAACCTGGTGCACTCCATGGTGATGCAAATAATCTTGTAGCGTTTTGTGACAGTGTTTGTGCTTGTTTTATGTAGGGGATCTTCAAAAATTTATCTCAGCACATATTTTTTCACAAAAAACCTTAACGTTGATACCTTGTATTGATAATCTTCTGTGGTCAGCGAAAAGTCGGCCAATGCAAAGTCACCAGGAGAATCTGCGTAGCTGTATTGATGTGTGGAAAAATCAGTACTAGCCATTGGCACTCTTCCAAGCGTGTATTGTAGACCTATAAAGTTGGAAAAAAATTATTGGATACTATTATAAGAAGCTTCCGCAACTTCGATCTACCTAGGCAATTAATTTAAGCTCAATTTCGTCATCCCGCAAAATTCACGATGACTGAACAGATTTATAGAGACTCACCACTTGCTCCATAATAGCCCTCCATCATACTGCCCTGCATCGCCTTCGGAAGGCTTCGAAGATTTATCCCAGCGGAATCTGTGAAAGCTCCACCAAATCCAATCATCTTTTGGAATGTGGTTGTAAGATTGAGAGTGAGTAGAATACTGCCTTCTGCACCAAGCGAAGGAATTATCAAATTGTTCTTTCATCCTCGAAGTGTTACCTGCTCTATTGGCTGTCTGCCTAAGATTCGACCGCTGCATTCGCTTTCCAGCATAATTTGAATAATAGAGGACAGCCTGTCCCGGACGCAGGTCCCCCAAAGCTTCGATATTGTCACAATAGGTAGCGTTACATACACAAATCACTTGATTCTTGCCAACGGTGCGAGCTGCACATGGCTGATAAGTGTACTGCCCTGCAAGTGGACGAGTTTTACTTACTTGGCTTGAAATATATGTATGTGATAAAATGATAGTGGCGGTCGTAAACTTCTTTGGAAGGAGGGAGGAAGATAACGAAAAACTCTGCGGGTGACCTAAGGCATGCCTTTTAGAAATAGTTGTTTTTCCTCAATTTTTTTGGCAAGCTTGTACTCCCAAAATTGGAATGGAAAGTGGCATGATCCAAGCCCGCGATACCCAGGAAGGTAGTTTCTTGTTTGAGTCAAGGTCATTCTAATTGTCTACGAGTACAAATAAGTCACACGAATGATATGAGTTATGTAGAACACAAAAAATTCTAACTTGCCTTTGCTCCTCCCCCCCCCCCCTCCTCCCCATCCCTTTCCAGCTTGCATTCTGTACTTAACACGGAGTGCATAGTCTATCAAATACAAAAAATGATCACCTGTTACATGTTCCAAAAAGAGAATGAGTATCGAAAATGTGCTAGTGATCCAGCCCATGGGAACGAAATTCGTCTTTGCTGCCACTATCACTAATCTTATCAGAAGTGGCGACTAAAGATCGGTGGAGGTGGTGAACTTTATTGAAATAGAAACAAATGAGAAATTAAAGGAAGAAAAAAGGTGCGCTTTGTTGTCGACTGAATTTACTAATTTCTACGAATTTCTTCTAAGAATTTAGTATTGCGCATTAATTCTGAGTAAGCCTCCTTTATGCTGGGAGCAACGATTTGTAAATGATTGCAATCGCTTGGAGCAACAAATTTTATTCCATTATAGTCATGTATAAAAAATTCATTTATTCAATTATTGATGCATGTAAAATTTTGTAATAACATCACGAATGCAAATATGTGTCCCTGAGTAATCCCGTATTGGAAGATGCGTTTGGTAGATCGTTACTGAAGCTAGCATCTAACGCCGAACTAAAAAGAAAGGAACTACAAAGAAATATATCGAACATAAGGGCGAGTTCAACCTGATCAGTGCAGTTGGTATTCCTGCGATTACATACTAACAATACGCGTACAAACAGCGACAATCGTCTTAGCCAGTAGTAGCCACCTAAACCAATATACTATTGATCAAGTTTTTAGACTCAACAAGCAGTCACAATTTTTTGAATTTCGTTTACCTCAAACTGTCACTGATGTGTTCAGCTGTCTTTCATGGACGCGAGTCCGTCGATTTTCGTACGATCTCGACTCTTCCTGCCAGGCTATCCTCGCATTTGCTGCTTTGGAATCAAAAGGAACGCTGAAAAAGTACTATCACAAGAACCACTTTTTCTCACAAGCTGTGATCATGCAAAAATTACCAAAAAAAATACATTTTCAGTGATAAGTAATCTTGCAGCTTTCGATTTTTTAAAATTAATCTTAGAAATACGTAAAAATGCCTAGTGTATATAAAATATATCTACATCAATAATAATTCAATAGTTACATAATAAGTTCTCGGTAAGACTCCACGATTTACGTTTAATTTTTAAAACAATAATAAAAAGTTCACCACAATGAACTTTACAAACTTACAAATAACATATAACTATACGTGATTCTAGGTCATCCTTCCTTACTTCCGGAGTTCCGGGGAAGACCGAACTCGTCTTAAACTCCGTCTAAGGGAAGGAACAAAACGGATTGATGATATTTAGTGTTCTCACAAAAATATTTTAAATATCTTTACTTGTTGTTATAGTTACAGTTCAGGAACGTTCTCATTCCAGTTTTATTCACTACTTTATACTGAATAGACTCTAGGTTTCAAAATTACTAAAATTACTTCTACAACGATTTACTTACATGACAGCATTCCGATCTCGAACAAGTTTTGTGATCGTTTTCATCCGTTCAGTCCTAGCAGTATCGAGAAATCTATTCAGCATTTCAGCGAAGGCGACGCAACCAGTCAAGAAGAAAATCATCTGGTTCATCTGGTAGGAAAATCTCTTTCGAAGTTGATCTATACAAAGAAAAGGTTAAAAAACAGAAATTTTAGGGTCGCGTAATTGACATAAAAAATCAAGTTTGGAGTTTCAATTTGGGAGGGGGAAGTGGGGAGGAGTTGGCGAAGGGGCATAGAAATTAAACAGTATTGTTGACTAGCTGGCTTACCCGGCTCCGCCGTATGTTCCGAATAGAAAATTCCATTTCTCAACCGATCCGAACCAAACTTGGCACACATACATTTCGGGCCCCGGCGGGTGTCACAGTCCACTTTTCGTTATCGATTGATGTCGATTTTATCGATTTTTTGCAAAATTTGAGCTAGGGGGCTGGGATTTGTCACAGGGGGTGTAATCGAGCATGCTGATCACCCCCACGGGGGTGATCAGCATGCTCGATTACCCCCCTGTGCCAAATCCCAGCCCCGTAGCTCAAACTTTGCAAAAAAATCGATAAAATCGATAAAAGTAATGCACGATTTTAAAAACTAATATTGTATTCGGAATCCCCATGCTCACTTACCCCCCTGTGCCAACTCCCAGTCCCGTAGCTCAAATTTTGCAAAAAATCGATAAAATCGATATCGATCGATACGAAAAGTAGCCTATGACACCCGCCGGGGCCCGAAGTGTATGTGTGCCAAGTTTGGTCCCGATCGGTTCAGAAATGGAATTTTCTATTCGGAACATACGTGCAGACAGACAGACATACAGACAGACAGACAGACATACATACAAACAGACATTCAGCTTTATATATAAGATAAGTATGGATGCCTACTCAAATGAAAGATGATTGAGGGTGGTTTAGTAGAATTGAACGGAACCGTTTTATGAGACACAGAACGGCTTATATAGGCTGCTCGAATTCCTGAGCGCTTTCCGCAAAAGGACGGACAAACATCTAGTTGTCGCGCAAAAAAAATCGACACAATCGTTTGCTGCTATTTTCAGGATGAACCCTTCTAAGTCAACAGTCGGAGTAGATACGATTTCTTTGAAAAAAAAAAACGCGTACTCAGACGTTGCAAGACTTGCAGCCCTCAAATACTGCACAAACAATTTTTTAAGGCTAGACCTATCGACAGTGAGAAGCTGCGAATGAATGGAGTTCTTCAAAGAGTGCGTCAAAAATAAACTCTCCAACATAGCCTAGCTCCAGGCTTCGCAGTGTGAATTCAAGCAGTTATGTTTGCTCACTTCAGTGGTCAAGCATCAGTCATTGACTCAAGGAAACCAAAAGGATTTTGATGATAGAAAAATGTGCACAAAATGCTATATTCAATCTGAAAAGCAACCCCGCTTGAAAAAAATCAAACTATTGAGATTTGCATTTCGTAGGATGTATTGTTGAAGCACTGACCACATTTAGATCATCATCAGGGTTGAGCTTGGGATCAGGCGCGCCCGACCTGGGGGTCGCGTTGGGGGTAAGACTGAGGGGAGGGGGTCGTATTCAAGACGAATTTGTTCACAAAATGGAGGGGATGCTACACTGAATGAAGAAGAAGAACGCTAGACCAGTGGATATGATTCTACCGGAGAGGGAATGACTATCATTAATTGCATATTGGTAACTCCACTAACGAAGTCTCTGCCAACGGTAAGGTCACCCGTAACTAGCATGCCAAAATATCTGTACGAGCTCTACAAACCACCACCTATCACATTTTCTCATGTTTCCTAACGTCTAGGAAGCGTAATTTTCGAACATGAGTAACTTGATCACAACAGTGAAAGAAGTATGCTTTCTTGTGCTCAAAACGAGGTGGTACTCTTTATCAGTCTATGGTAGATATTAGTTCTCCTACCGCTTTCAGAAAGTGGATCAAGAAGTGCCGGCAAAATAGCAATCACCGCGTTTTCCACCTGGAGTGCTTCAACTCCACACCACAAAGCCTGAACAAGTCCAAGAACTCAAACACCTACTGTAGAATCTTCGAGGTTTGTGCTAGCGAATCACATAAAAGTAGGGTGGAAAAGATTCTTCGGTAATAGAGTTAACCGGGTCAGGCGCAGCTCGTCAAAAGCTCAGCCGCCAGACCTTTTCTAGCCTTGCGCCTGATCCCCTTAACATGTCTTCAAAATCCAGAAATCGCTCCATTCCTGATATGAACATTGAGCTCATAGCTCCTTTTTGGTAAAATGTAAATTTAGAGCCAAGCACCCCAGCAGCCAAAAATTATGGTCCCCGCAATAAACCCATCCCGATCAAAATCTAACGTCAAATTACGTGTGTTTGTAAAGCGCAATCGCAGAAAATTGGGCGTACAGTAAAAACCCTTCGGAAAAGGATGGTGTCCTCCAGAATGTCGCTCCCTGGGGTTTCGGAGGTGAAAAGGAGGAAGAAAGGGGTCGTTTGGGGCTTCAGAGGGGAGGAAGGGGGGTCGTTTTCGAAAGACTTATGCCTGAACTCTTGCTCAACTCCGGGGAAAGAAGGAAACAGATCGGATGCCCTAATTAGTCCGCTGACCAGCTCATATGATTTTCCCGTTACTGAGAAATTCAGTCTGGACCTCTCGTGCAATATGATTTTCCAACCAAAACAAAAAACGTCCGCGAGTACGGTAATGAACAAGGGCTTTTGACTGGATGCCAGTGGTATTCCTGAGAGTCGCGAATCCTAGTATGTAGCGTTTCTTAAGATGTGGAAATCTTTAGGAAATTCTAATCATAACTTATAATAGCCGGCTTATTGGATGTTCAATATGTATTCCTGCTTTGCCGACAACATTTATGCGTAATCAGCGGCAATATGCGTTTTAAAGCGCCTCCTCCCTCCAAATGGGTCCCGGATTTTTTTTTTGAAAGTGGCACATGCGCTATGAAATTGCCTTTTTTTCCTTACTTGTTATGTTTGATGCGAATTTTGCGAATTTCTTAGAAAAATGAAATTAGCTCCGTAGAATAGATTCAAGGCTGTAGCCGTGCCTCATTTTCCTTGAACTTTTGAACTACAGGCCCGCCAAAATTTGTGAAACACTTATATAAAGGTCAATTCCGTGTGAATGCTTTTGTGACATTTTCGGAAAATTACAAAAGTAATGGAACAAATGAGGATATCTTACATGAGCTGCGAACATGAGATTATGCCAGCTGGTAGCAATTTTACATTTCTTAATGATGATTAGACGAGATTTGGAATAGTCTCAGCTTCCGCAGAATAAACGCGAGTCTATTAAACAACCTTTCACAAAGTTTATTCAAACTCCCTTCGAACTGCTCAATACTTAAACCGGTAAAAGACGCAACCTTTACAACATATCGTAGAATAGACTATCTGGGAAAGATGGGAACGGAAGATAACTGCAATATTAGGAAAGATATGCACAACGTCTACGTAAGAACATATATACTGACAATTTCGAGTCAAAATTCTGAGTCATTTAGCCAATCACATTGGATAACAAGGAATGCTATGTTGAACGGAAAGAAAGCAGACAGTGGAAAGATCCAGAGACCAGATTAAAAAAAATTAAAGAATGCGTAACACAGATAGACTTTTTTCAATATAACTATACTTTTATATTTCAAGCAGTTTCATTTCTTTGCTATAGATCTATAGTAATCTGATAAGATCTTCCAAGCTGTGGGCGCCATAAAACCTTCTGGTGGAGTTGCTCCACTTCTGCAAACATTCATAAAAATACCTGGAGGCAGTTCAAAGAATAAGAGGCCTTTAAGGAAATCATTCATAACCAAGACAATATCACGCCAACCTGGCTAAGCCTCTCATGCGGGTTCCACTTATGAAATCGAAGTCATCTTTCCGTGAAGGATCAAAGAAAGCCATTTTTCCAGCCTGCGAAGAATGTTATTGGAAGATATGTTTAGTAAGTGATCTACAAACCTTTTTGTCATATGCGGCCACACGGAATGGTAGAATGTGTAGATGACTTAATCCAGGAGCCATTGATAATACCTAAAACATAAATTAAGCTCTCCACAGTCATAGGTACAATATTCTGACAAACCTTAGCTCCGTGTGTTGGTTCATAGAGGAAATCGCCAGTGTCTGGGTGTTGGATCCCAGCTGGATCTCGGCCAACAATGTAAGTGTGCACTCCAGCAGCAATACGAGCTCTAAAGAAGATACTCATACTTCGGTTGCAACGAGACAAAGTTACTAGTTATTTGGATTTCTTAAGCGGATATGAGTCGGAGGCCTTGTCTAAGCCATATTCGTGGCTGAAAAATGCGAGTGGAATTTGCGCGTTACCGTACTTGAAGACGGTAATGGGACCGCTCGGAGAGTACGATACTGGGAGGGAATTTGAAGTTAGATCCGGCTATAAACAGCCATGTAAACTGTCGCTTGGACATGGTTTGGTCAAACTTCTCTTGTTTCCAAATAAAAAATCCAGGCAGGAAGACTTGCCCGGGCGCTGCTTTTAGAGGTTTAGCAACATCTGTCTACCTAAGTTTATTGACACAAATAATGAAAATGCGGAGTTCTTTTTTTCAGAAAATGTGGAGGAATCCGCTACTTAACATAAGTCACAACAATGATTCCTCGAGTGAGGGTAAGACCCCAGGCATACTTTTTGTGATTTCAGTCTTACGATTTGGCTGCTGTTTGAAATTCATCGTAACTGCATACTGAATGTGCAGAAGATAGAGCATGTTATTCATGAAAGTTATACATAGCGCAATTTTCGTCTGCGAGTTATGGATTTGGAGATATTCGGCAATTGCCAGATCCCGCGGCGATTAAAGGCAGTGTCCAGGCTAAACCTAACCCCCTCCGGGTTAGTGTCGATCCTGAATGTTGGCCTCAGAAAAGGGGCATCTGCGTTGGTCCGGTCTTCTAACGTTGTCTCTGAATGGAGATAAGGGGCCTGAAATTCCCTGGCTGGGCGGAGTCTGATATCAGACTCTGCCCGCGCCCTCCCCCCTAGCCTGCCGACAGCGACGAGCGATTCGAAACTCGTCCGCGCCCTCAAGACAGGGTTCCCAGGATTCGGGTTTTTTGTGAATTTTGGAGACTTTGAAGTTCGAAACTGTAGTCAGGGCCACGGAAAGGCCCCAAAGTGACGAAAACATGGGGGGCCAAATTCTGGGTGGACGCTGCCTTTAAATCGCTGGAATTATGCGCGGGATCTAAACGGAAAACTTTCTCCGGTTTTTTGTAATATTTCCTTGTTTGTATGTTTCAGAATAAAAACGGGTAACTTCACAAAATTCTGTAGCGTACACGGCATTTCCACATAGCAATCTGCCAACCTTGCGTGCCACTGAACTTCTGTGGGTCCTGCATAGAGCATCGGTGATGGGAAAATGGAGAGTACGGTCCACGATGGATCCAACACTCCCTCAGCAATCACAGCTTCGTGCTGGCGCATTCTTACAGACAACGGCACGTCATCGTCTTTTGTCCAGCCACCTAGATAGACAAAGGCTCGTGAAGAAGCAAAAATATGTTTTCTTTGGCCGACCTAAAGGATGCAGCAAAAGCATTGGGTTACGATATTTCTTCAGCAATTTCTCCCTCGTGTCTCGCATCAATAGAGCATGTCCGTTATGCACGGGGTTACGCAATTGGAACACGAAGACAGCGTCAGCTCCTGGAAAAATTTTGCAGTGATACTTTGTTAGAAATTAGCAGTTTCATAACAACAATGAGAACCTTTCTCTTCAAAAATTTGTCGCAGCTCTTTTGGAGTTTTTCGGAACTCGTTGAGGCCATCGTCGAATGTGACTCGTTCAAGAACCTAGAATATCCCAATAAAGGGAACAAAAACGCAAACAAATCATAGTTCGTTCAATAGTGACGTTTTTGGTTTTTTCCAAAAATTTTGATCTTTCCAAAAAAGCTACAAGCAAAAGTTAACCATCACACCGTTCTCTTTCATTTTTTCAGCAGATCCCTTAGGTCTTATGCCACAACACCGGCTGAGGCGGTATGGGCAAATCTGGGTACCTAATTTTCTTATGCTCGTTGAAAGGCCCTAAGCCAATAACGAAGCGGCAACATACAGTACATTCGTGGCCGAGAAAATAACCCTAAACTCACGCCCAGACCGTAGTCCAAGCGACTCGAATACAGAGAGGACGGTATGGGCGAAAGGTTTAGGATATTTCGGCAGCGAATGAACCATTAGCTGAATAGTTTAGTCAAGGGCTTTCTATAGTACCCAAAAAATTAGGTACGCAAATTGCCTAGGCAATATCAAAAGCTTACCTTCAGGTCACCTCCCAAACACCAAGGTCCGCTGGAGAGCACTTGTTTGACGGCAGGGTGACGAGGATCGCAAAATGCGAACTGTCTAGCAACTCTTTCCTCCTGTCGATGGGCAAAAATCTCACCATCGCAAAGAATGGCAAGTACCGTACCATTTTGAGTAAGAGCAATGCGTGGTGATACTTCACCTTCTGAAAATCGAATCATGGTTATTCAAATCAATTTTGAGTCCACTTAAATTCTACACTACCTTTGCTTATCGATTCCTTCTGCTCGTCGCTTATTGGGAGCACTATGGGGATGCTTTGGTTGACTGGCTCATCCATGGGCCATGGGTCTATAGCCCCATCATCCTGATTGACCACGAATACAGACGATTCAAGCAATATCACCTGCTGCGATTCTAACCTTTTCTCCTGGGAATACCGTTTTCTTTTTGAGATCTAATAACTGGCCAAAGTGTAGCGCCTGTAGATATTGGCGCTCCCTCATAAATCCAGGTAATGGCGTCGCCCATCCTTCGGAGAGGACCTGGAACATTCACTATTATAGAAAATTTTTGGATTTTGGTTGTAATGAACAAACCTGAAGCCACTGCACTTCAAGTGGACCCAGCTCTATCCTTGGCATATTCTTTGCTTCTTCCAATAACGACTGCTTTTCCTCAGCATTCACAAACAGCTCTCTAACGGGCGGCCCAGATAATTGTTGCATAGCCTGAAAATTTAGAAAATCAATGACGGTATCTGAAGTTACATCCCTACCTTATCGGGAATGATGCCATTCTGATGAAGGAACTCGATGACTGTTTCGACACAGCGATCGACATCGTGACCCTCAGACTCCGTGTCGATAACCTGAAGTTGATAGAAGCGTTAGAAGCGTCACATATGAAATACAAAAAGTGTTTTGGCAGCGGTCAAGCAAAAAGTGAGGGAAGAGAAGGAAAGGTGAGGTAAGCATTGAAAGACAGTTCCAGTTAAATTTGCATAACTAGATTTCTGATATGAAGCCCTAGACTCTTGCCCGTACCGTAGTAGAGAACGGTGGCTTGCTTAAAAGAATACGGTACAGGGCGAGAGCGTAGAGTTGTTTCTATCGCTCGCGAATGAATGTCTGAGCTGTAACTTGGGCAACGGCTCGACTGAAGCTCCCCTATCACTTTGGGAAAAGGATAGGGGCACAGATTTGATAGATCAGACTTTAAGCTTTGATCTCAATTCTACAAATTTAAAAACTGAAATTTCACCCACCAACTCAGCATCGTCTGGTGGTTCGTAGGCACTGTCAATACCGGTAAATCCAGAAATCTCACCGGCCCGAGCTTTTTCGTATAGTTCTGAAAATACGTGCAATAGAGTAAGTTCTCATACATAACGCAAATCCTTATATAGAGAAAAGTGGAAAATGACAAATAGAGTTCAGGCAAATAATCCTACTTTTTGGATCGCGTTTCTCGCATTCTTGCAAAGATGTGCTAACATAAACTTCGAAGAATGGAAGGTTATCCTGCAAAAAAAGTTGAATGAGCGTTTACCCTCAATTTAAAAATTCTAACAATACTGACTTTAGCATGGATTTTCCTAGCTTCTTCGCGGTCAACACGGAATGGGGAGATAAAAGAGGCTAAGGAGACCAAACCTTGATCGGCAAAGAGCTTTGAGACTTCGGCTACCCTTCAAGGAGTTTGGTTAGTTTTGAGTTACTTCTCAGAATCTTGGACTACACAATTTACCTTCTAATATTTTCACTCCTTTCTTCTTTCGAAAAACCAAGGTTTTTGCAAAGTCCATGACGTACGTTGTCACCGTCCAGACCACAACATGGTATACCCATCTGAAATGTGAGACCTTAAGACGACTGACGAAAATTACCAAGGTTGAGCTATATAAATCATGACCCAGCCAACATTCAATGCATTAAATTCACAGATCCATTCTTTTTGAAATATTCAACCTCAAAAATGCTAGTACAAATTTTTGCAGTAGATCAAGCAGGTATGAGCTCACTTCAAGCATTTCAAATAACTCGCGAAAGCATCTGTACAAATAGACCATGAATTATTCACGAAAAGACAATGAATGCTAAAATACACTCATGCTGCGAGATGACGAATTCTTATGCAATGTCCGATAAAAGTGCTTTAAACCTGTGTAAGCAGTTTTTCAACTCCGAAAGCGATCGTAGTTTTTCCAGCACCAGACAGTCCAGTGAACCAAATGGTGCAGCCACGGAATCCCTCATACTTTCCAAGAACAGAGGCACGTTCTTCACGTCCAGTCTTATGTTGTTGGTAGGTGACATTGGTAGCTCCAAGGGAATAATGCTGGAAAAGAAAACGTTACAAAAAAATCGCTAAAAAATTTTCCTGACTAGGACCCAAGAACTACTCTTTGTACGAATTTTCTCTTTACATTTCTGGCAAAGTCTATGTGCTATAGTACGTTGTTTTCCCTCTTAGCTCGACATGTGAAGATTACGTTCATGTTTTCAAGTTCAATTATTCAGCTGCTAGTGGACAGTGTGATCATGTTTACTTGAGATCAAAAAATGTGAGTTTTAGCTGTCAGCAAGCTGCGAAAAAAATTTTCAACATCATATGAGTGGTAAATTCACCAAACACTGCAACAAAACGCTTACCATGGTGAGGTCACCTTACCTATCACCATCGATCGCACCCCGTGGTTGACCCTTCGATCAAAAACACCCGGTCATTTTCGTTTGTCATCCCTAAGCACCAACCTGTAAGCCACAGCTGATGCAAGTAGTCAAACGAATTTTAGGTCGCATTGTGAAAACTGAGCAAGTGAAGCCACTGAGCTTACTGAACTCACTCGTCGCGCGCGCGCCGCCCACGTCACAAAATTATGGCTTACCAGAGGTAATCACTATGATTTTGATGATTACCGCTTTGAATGCCTCGACAAATTGTGAAACTAAGCATATGATACTCTGGATTAAGATCGTAGTATTAAGAGAGTGTACACTTGAATGGTTTCTTTGCTAAAGTGTGTAACTGCACATTTTCCAGAATGAGGTCGTCATGAAGCTTTAAAGGCAGCGTCCAGGCAAGTCGGGACACACCGAAATCTTATGGATAGTACTTTTGGGGCTCTAACTAAGCCACTGCCCAACCGGCAGCTCAGGTAGTGCTCTAACGGCTGAGATATTCCTCTCAAAACTGGACCCCCCGATCTATTTTGCATGGATTCAACGCGCAAATCGTGTGTCCTGGCGCGGAACTGCCATGAATCCATGCAAATACGATCGCGGGGTCCTGACGGGAATATCTCAGCCGTTAGAGCACTACCTGCGCTGCCGCTTGAGCAGTGCCTTAGTTAGGGCCCCAGAAGTATTCTCCACGTAAAATCCATAGGTCCAGATCTGCCTGGACGCTGCCTTTAACACTAGCTTTCCTAAATTTTCCTGTTTTTTTCCGTTCCTTGAGGACGGTGCATGCCTGGGCATAAATGATCACATTATATGATACATTTCACGCAGTCTTTATACAAGGGACCAGCTTTCCGCTGTTAGCATCTTAGAAATAGTGCAACTGCACATATTATTATAATTATTTGGACAGTAAAGAGACTTTTTACCAAGATCAAGGGGCGCGATTTCGGCTGTCGGTGTTAGAAAGACAACAGAAAATTCAAATTCAGTTTTCAGAAAATTCAAATTCAGTTTTTGATACATTCCAAAAATAAGTAGTATGCTAAGAATATTTACAAAATACATAGTTGCACTTTGTAGAATTTCAATGTCTCAAGATGTATCCGTAACATGAATATTGAGGTCAAAAACAAAAAAAAAGTTCAAAAAACGACGATTTGGTGAATATTTTGGTGAGAAGAGAGCAATACCCTTACTTTCAACCCTAAGCTAAGCATTCATCTAAGCAGTAGCTCAGTCAGTTGACTGCTATAAACCACAAAAAATAGGACTCTATCCGATCACTACTTTTTATCTGCTAGTTTAAATCTATCCAAGACTGTGGGAATTCTACTCCTTCTTTTCTCAAATAATTCTCGAGACTATTCGTCACTCATCAATTGCGCTGACGACATTCACAAAAAGTCAGAGAGAGATAGTTGTTCGGACTTTTTCCTAAAAGAAAATTAGTTCTGTAATTTGCCGACGACTGCCACGTAACGTCATAAATTACAACGTGGTTGGCGGTCCGATGCTCATTTGAACAATATTGTGAATGTTTTTGCATATTACAGCACTTTCCGCTAAACTGTTAGTACGTTGATATGGCAGTAAGTAGCTGATAGCAACTTGCAAAAATTACTATCTTCCTTGCCCAGCTTCAAAAAAAGGAAAGGTAACTGTGATTAGACAGAAAAAGATCAATGCAATAAAGAGCATGTTCCCATTATCTCGAATTTCGTCAAAAAGAAAGGATATCGAAGACATTTGTATCAATTCTATTCTCAGTGCTGCTAACACTTTTGAAGACATGTCGCTAATTGAAGATATATAAATATATATCGCACACTGCTTCCCGTTTTTTTTCTCTAATTATACAATACCACTGGGTGCGGGAAGTTCCTCACCCGAGCCATACTCTCGCACCTAAGTGATGTCATGCCAGGCACATCCGAGCTCGCTATAATAACGAGCTCCTCAGGAGACCAAGACATCGCAAGCTCCGCCCCTCACTTAATGTTCGCCCCAGATGATGAAATCGGAATTTCAAAGAAACTTTCAAAATCGAAGTTCAGAAGTGAATTTGCTCCAATCAAGACCAAATTTCGGATTTAGGGGTTTTCGAGGTTGCTCTTTTCAGTAGTGTGATTTGTTTGTTGCAAAGTCGACGTTCAGCACCGATGATGCTAAACCAAGACTAAAATTCGGATTTAAGGTTTTCTATTTTCTATTTCAGTACAAGACCAAAACTCAGGTTTAAGGGTTCTCGAAATCGCTTTTTCGATAACGGTATTTGTTTTGTGTAATATAAATAGGATTTGTTTTTTGGACAATTTATTGGTGAAAAGATACGAATAAATTTACACGTACCATTTTAGAGTTTGCTTTAATCTATTTTGATTTGACCGTATTTTGGTAATCAGGACTAAATTTTATATAAATCCATACCAAGGATTTTTCAATTGTTGTCCATTCATAAATTTCGAGAACCCTTAAACCTGAGTTTTGGTCTTGTATTGAAATAAAAAATTGAGAACCTCTAAATCCGAATTTTAATCTTGGTTTAGCATCATCGGTGCTGGACGTCGACTTTGCAACAAACAAATCACACTACTGAAAAGAGCAACCTCGAAAACCTCTATATCCTTGGTCTTGATTGGAGCAAATTCACTTCTGAACTTCGATTTTGAAAGTTTCTTTGAAATTCCGGTTTCATCAACTGAAGCTAACACTAAATGAGGGGGCGGGGCTTGCGATGTCTTGGTCTCCTGAGTAGCTCGTTATTGTAGCGCGGATGTGCCTGGCATGCACATCACTTAAGTGCGAGATTATGGCTCGGGTGAGGAACTTCCCGCACCCCCACTCTCAGAATGTGCAAAATTTCCCGGAATACCGCGGAATTCCCGGAAATTTTGCACATTCTGAGAGTGGTATTGTACTACAAACGCTTCAAAGTTATTAATCACCACAGATAGTCAAAAAAGAGTGTTGAACAATCGCTAAATGATAGCGAATGCGTCATTATGAATTCTCTGGGAATAGTAGCTTGCTAGCACTTTATCGGGCAAGCTCCTGCATTTGATTTCAATCAACACCTGGATATTATTCACTCCAGCATGCATAGCGAATCAGAGTGTAATGAACTTACTACGAAGGGAGAGGAGCTAAGATATTATAACCAACATTTGAAAAATGATGAGATCTTGCCTACTCCGCTCCTAATCACTAGTTTATGCAACTTCTCGTTGAAAAGAATTATAGCATTTCTCAAATATGAATCTCTAACAAATCTTCAAAGCAACAAAACAATGAAAAATTGATGAAAAGAACGTCAAATCAGTCGAAAAGAGCACAGAAAAGAAAAGGGCACAGAAAGACGCTCAGTCATGAACCTTCATGACTGAGCGTCTTTCCCCTGTCTGTACTGCCAGACCATTGATAACGAAAGCAAATCCTATGGAACAATGACAGATATGAAAACATATTAATTTGACGCAAGAGACTTTCAAAAGATGAGATAACATCGTGATTTTTTAAGAAAAATGTTAAATTTTTGTGAGCTACAATATATGAATTTCTGTTATATTATTGTTACCTTATTCACGGCTCAGATATGAATATGAAAACGTATGCTAATGTAAATATGAAAACGTATGCTAATAAAAATATATCAGCTCTCATAGATGCAGTACTAAGATAGTATAATAAAAAGTTTGCAATCCAGTTTAAAATGTGATTCCCTCGAGGTATCTGTCAGTGGAAGCACTAATAAAAGGACCGCTGGTTCTGAAGTGAAATTTGCAAGATAGTAAAGTAATGCGAACAGAGTTCTTCAATGCGGACGTATCCAGTACTTCGATGAAACCCTATATGGAAGCTGGCAAGCTCGATGAGTAAGGAATGAAGAAGAAAGAGTCAGGACATATGAGTTTTTCTATGATGGGGTGGAAGCTAATGTGGAAAATTAGCATTACAACGGAGATATCGTTAAATTAGTGGTACAAACAGGCAAGAACTCTCCAGTTTTCAAACTTACGAGAACACCTAAGACTGCGTGGAACACACACAAAACTTCCAAATTTGGAGTAGTGAAATAGAGAAATAGAGAAGCTAGCATGTGCCTTGGGACGATAATATGCCCAAAGAAGAATGGAAGAAGCACTCACCGCAGCCTTGATTCTTTTCCTCGGGTAGTCCTCGACATTCTCGTTCTCATGCAGCGGTTCGACGCATTTGGTCGTTAGCGACTTCATGTTCGTACAGTCCGTCGACGTCGTCGATGATCGTCGGGGGAGCGTCGTAGGCGGGGGGCGGGGGTCGGGGGCGACAAGCGGCTAACACGTTGGCAGCCGAGCGGTAGATGATCGAGCGTCCGGCTATCGACGTCGATCGCGCGTGCACTCTGCGGACGGACGGCGATAGCTGCGCGACTACCGGCTGACGCAGACGCTGCGATCGGTCCGAGACCGAAGCAACTGCACCTGGAATACTGGATCTGACTGTATGTTTCAAAACGTAGCCGACGGCCTTATCGCGATCGCGCACATCCGCGTGCGCGAAGACAATGCGCACTTGCAATCGGCTTAGCGTGATGGATATATCGAGAAGCTAGCCATCGAAACCTCTTCGGAGGCTTAAATATAAACCACCCTGTTGACCAAGAAATGTTATTGCAGCCTTCGCATAACCAAAAAAGTCCCCATACATCTTTTTTTCAAAAGTGGTCAGCGTTTATGACTACCGGAACCTGCCCCTTATTCGACATTTCCACTTTTGTTCGGTGATGTTTCGTTGAAGAAATACCCATTCGCCAAAAAGCCCATTATCTACTGATGACGCAATCCCAAACAAAATTTATGTGCTGAGCTCACGGTCTCAGATTTGCCATGCAAAAGGGCACGAGCAAACATCTGCTCTTTCATGACACCGACACGGTCCATAAGAGGTGCAAGAAGGCTATCCACAATTCCGTACTTAACTAGCAGCCTATAAGTTTATACATCTTGAGCAGATAACAAGCCGCTTCGCACGAAGAGGCTGAGTGATGCGGTTTTCTTTTAACTGACAACCTTCACTCGAACTGGAAGGGGCTGATCGCTTTCAATTTATTGTTTACTCAAATTGCTTGACATCGAGGTCCCTCAACCGAAAGATGCTGACTAAATGGTTCTTCCAACTAAAAAGCAGCAAAAATCCAAAAAGTCAAGTCATGCTCAAACGATAATCAAAAGAGATCCTGTAGAATTGTCTCAACGCTTACTTTATGCGACACAGAGAACATAATCTATATGTCTAAAAAAGTAACCCATCAAGTGGAGTGGGATGAGGTAAAAACTAAGGAAGACTATGCTATAAGACTGGTTATACAAAGTGATCGCGAATCTTCCATATCTACACCTTTTTCTCATGACAGTGGAGATGAGAATCGTTTCTTTTCTGTGGTGTTCAATGAGAGATAGTGAATAAGCCATTCAGAAAACTCCAGCTTTTGATTTGTGAAGTGACGCAATGAGAAAGGAATTTGAATAGTGAATTGCTGCAAGCACTGGCAGTCGCATCTCAAGACTAACAAGAACTATTTTATCAGTGCTTGTACTTATACGTGTAACTGATATCAGTAGAAAAACGTTTACAACTGTAATATTTGGTAGACTGCACACTTGGACCGATATTCCGAGGTCAAGATATAACAACTCACAATGAACTCGGAAAAAAGTAAGCAGGGAGTCAACCAAAGTATTCAGATCTCCAAAGCTGTGCAAATATTTGTTTTGCCAACTTTGCACTTGAATTATTCATAGTGTCACTATACGGGATAGTGCTCTTCGACTTTGTTTATCGCCCTTCACGATTTACGGCTGCCCATTTACGGGAGTCGAGGCTAGACAATAAGGTTTCAAAATCTCTGTCATAGATGAACATCTCGTGTACTTTCAGCGATGATGTGGAACTGACGTGGTGCCCAAATTATGACAATCAAAATTCGCTCGCATTTTTATGATGGCTCAGCCAAATATCTGATACAAATCAAGGGAAAATGCGAAGAACAGTAGGGAACTATCTGAAGTACACTGCGAAATCTAGCAGATGCGTGTTACTTTTTACATTAATTCAGGCTCAAAAACAAGCTTTTTTGCATTGCGTCAAACATATATAAATGCCAAAGATTTTGAAATAATATTCCAAAAATTTTTTTTTGCACAATTTGGTGGATTAGCAGCGAGCCACTTATCACCAATGCAAGGCTTCACTTCGTTTGCAAAATAAATAATTGTGGGATGCTGAAGCGATGAAGTATGAAAGCAGCATGTTTGCTTCTTTTTGAAACTTGCAAAGGAATAGCACAAAATTTTGAACACAAGTGAACGATGGCAAAAATCCCGCAGTTTGGCATATAAGTTCTGATACATTGATCATCTGTGATTATTACGTAAACTACCTAACGAAGATGTTTCCGACATAAGATGGACTTTCGCGAAGAGTTTTCTACACCGATCCCTTCCGCTCACATACGGATTCTGCCTGCTGAAGTGCGCACCGCGATCCAGACAATGGAGACGTCCACGTCTCCGGACCAACACTTTTCTATCTAGCTTCTGCAAGACGTAATACGCAGCCTACACGAACTTTTCGCGTTGCATCCAACACATTCCTTTCAAAACAGTCGTCCTCTTCAAAAAAGGGGAAAAGGAGCATTGCAAAACTGCCCAATATGCTTGCTGAGTGTACTGCACAAGCTTTTTAACCCTCATTCGCATATCAAGGACAGTGGATGAGCCCAGCCTTAAAACATTTTGGATTTCGCAAAAAATTTCAGCTGCATGAACCACACCTGGACGGTTCCGAAGGTCATAGAATCTGCCAGGAGTACCGCCTGCCTCTCGTACTAACCAGGGGCGGACCCAAACGCGAAAGTGTCATTTAAGGTAGGCTATATAATTTCTGAATCAGCGTGGAACGCTGTTTTCAAATCTGAATTCACTATCTGCCGAGCGTTCCTTTAAAGAGAGCTATGAGCCCCGGTTTCCTCGTTGACATGCCAAGTTTCGTTAAGTACTATTCGCACCTGGAATCCGGGTATGGCCGTCAGGTGTAGTAAATAAGTGCGGACCTATGGAGCAGATAGTCGAGGGTTCGAGTTTCTTTTGATTTTCAACATTTTTGCAAGTTGAAAACGGGGGCCCATAACTCCGGAGAATCTCTTGGCAGATAACGACTATAGATTTGAAATCAGCGTAAAACGTTGATTCAGAGGATACATCTTACAATTGGCACTTTCAAGTCTGGATCCGCCCCTGGTAAGCTTCCGACTACAAGAGCGACTTCGACAGCGTCAAACTTGACGCCATCCTGTCAGGGCTAACCGATCAAGGAGTAGATCCAGTATATGTGAGTGCACTAGCCGCTGATACAAGACTGTACAACAACGATGCAGCTACTCCATCGCCCCTAACCATTCCAGTTAGTTGGAAAGGGAGTCCGACAAGGCAACACAATTTTCCCGAAGCTGTTCACCGCGGATTCGTTTTAAGGAGTCACTGAACTGCGACCAGAGGTGCGATAGGTGGAGCCGGGCCCTCCAGAAGTGAAGGTGGTTCCAGCTACCAATGGCCGGCAAAAAGTGAAGGTGGTAGGGCCGGAGATTCACCTCCCAAAAACGTCGACGGGGGGGGGGGAAGCACAGCTCGACTTCTCTTTTCGCAAAGAATTTCATTCTCAAAAGTTCCATTAACTTCTTTATAATCGTATTTTATTAAGTAAAATTTGTTATAACATACCGCGAAGAAAGTAGGTCGATACAGGGAATAAGCGCCGAGAACCAGAATTTTGAATAATAAAGTAATGAAAAATCATGCGAAATTTCCACTGTTATAAATCTGATATTTGACGATATCAGGAATTGCGACTTCATAGGTTTTGAAGAGTAAATGATGCTCTATCAGATAGTGAAAAAAATTGAGTCGATTTGAGTAGTCGCCGAAAACCAGAATTTTAAAAAAAATAACGCCATTTTAGCGTGTTCAATGACAGCTGACAATTAAACTCTTATAAATCTTGAAAGTGAAAGTGTGTGATGTTGCGACTTCGTAGGTTTTGTAGAGTAAAGTTTGCCTTATCAGGATATATCTTAGCCGTTCCGATCCATTGAAACACCTCCGAGATCCAGAGTCTTGAAAAAGCAGATAAAAAGGCGCTTTTTGAAGTTCAACAGCTCATAACTTCTTCAGAATTGCATGAATCATGTTGCGACTTCATAGGTTGGATTCTCCTCCTCAAGAGTTTCAGATGATATATAACATGTGGGGGTTTCGCGCCTCTCGCGGCATATGCCTGGGAGTGGAGACTTTCCATTACAAAGTCTCCACTGGCGGCCTCCAGCCAATACATTAACATGGGCGAGGTGGAGACTTTGGTATGAAAAGTCTCCACCTCGCCCATGTTAATGTTAGAGCTCGGGTTAGAGCCGCAAAAATCATCGAACCCCCCACACATTATATATCATCTGAAAGTCTTAAAGAGGAGAATCCAACCTATGTCGCAACATGAATCATGCAATTCTGGAGATTATGAGCTGTTGAAGTTCAAAAAGCGGTTTTTTACCTGTTTTATTTTAAGAGCCTGAATCTCGGCGGTATCTCAATAGATCAGTACGGCTGAGGCAAAGTCTGATAGAGCTATCCTTACTCTACAAAACCTATGAAGTTGCAACATTGCACACCTCACATTCCAGATTTATAGGGGTCCGAACGTCAGCTGTCATTAAACAACCTAAAATCGCTTAATTTTTTAAAATTCTCGTTCTCGGTGGCTGCTCAAATCGACCTAATTCTTTCATTGCCTGGTAGAACAACACCTGCCCTTCAAAACCTATGAAGTCGCATTTGCTGAAATCTTCAACCACCACATTTATAATAGTGGAAATTTCGCATGATTATTTTACGTTATTTTATCATTCGAAATTCTGGTTCTCGGCGGTTACTGCCTAGATCGACCTACTACATAGATATATGCTCTCAATACTTTCTTTAGCGTTCGTTTTGCTTATTTTCCTTCTTTTAATCAGCAAAAAAATATTTCAAGCCCAAAAGTGAAGGTGGTCACCCTGTACCAGCTCAAAAGTGAAGGTAGGTGGAGACTCGGCTCCGACTATCGCACCTCTGACTGCGATGACATAGTGTTGTTGGGAATCCTCTCGAATCTTCTTATTGCGGACGACATCGTTTTCTTTTCGAGCGGTATTACTGAAGCAGAGACCAGATTGAAGGAACTCAACGAAGTAGGGAAGGAGAAAAGATTGTAAAAAAATCTGAAGAAAAATTAGAATGAAGAACGCCCTTAGTGAAATTGCGCAAAGTTGGCAGGCGCCACCATTGCGAAGATCTTCTTACGTGTATGTGGACGTTCGATGAACATGGGGAATAATTTAACAGAAGAACTCTACGGAGAACAAGAGCACCCTGGAGCGTTTGGTCCGGACGAAGCTATTACCAGCTGACGGTTCTGAAGCTCCGAGCCCATGTTTGAGTAAGCCGTTCTCCCGGCGCTGTTGAGCAGCTGAGACAGGGCTCGGCACGAGCTGGCACCAGGGGAATTTCAAAACGAAGTCCCGTTTGATATTAAAAATTTCGTACGAAGTCCCTTTTGACCTGTTTTGAAACCCCGTCATCATTTTCATATTATGTAAAAAAATGTAGTAGTGTTTTCATGCATTTCTGATTGCACGAAAGAATTTTTCACAGCTTTCTGAGCTTTTTAAGTGGTCGAATCACATCTTGAGAAGCAGAAAAAGCCGATTTTTTAGACTGCGGAGCGGACCGAGTGGTTTTCAAGTTGCTATAAAACGCTGAAAAGATAACATTATGAAACTGTTTCTGTTCCGTATGTAATCTTTTACAGTATAGATACATTTTATGTAAAAAAGTATGAAAACTTATGTGAGCAAAGTGTCGGTGCCAGCTCAGCTGGCACCCAGCTGGCACGGTGCCAGCTAATTCAGAAAAAAGTTCGGCACAGCTTTCATTCACATAAGTTTTCATAAATTTTTGGCCCATAGTTCCGGTCCACCAACGCGCATGCACACACCACATTTGGTGTCATATTATTGCGTTTTGGCTGAAAACAACGCCTTTGTTTGTTGATGGACAGCTTGCCAATGGCATGCCGGTGGCATGCCGGCGGCATTTTTGCGGCAGTTCTCCGCCTCGGCCCCTGTAGAAACGATATCCGCTTTGCTTTCCGCCCTAAAAACGATATCCAGCTTGACCCGGTGCCAGCTGTGCTGAGCCCTGAGCTGAGACATTGGTCGATGAAGAAGAACAGACAGCAAATCAAGAAAACGAGTAAATTCGCGAAGCATAACCCTTCGAGGAGACCTTCGATGAACGTGTTCGCTGGGCACACATGTGCGCGACAAGGATGAGCCAATATAAAAATCAGGTAAATACGCCTCGCAAAATCGTGGATGCTAACACTGACAACAAGCAGAAGATCGTTTATGTTTGCGAGACGCAGGAACAAACGGAAATCTGTGCTGAGGACACCGTGAAGACGGGATCTAAGTATTCAAGTAGGTAAAGATGTCCAACAAAGCACTGGCGCTTAGTGCGAATCTGCCTCAACAGCAAGTAGAACTTGAGATGTAGAGAAAGTTATATAAAGCAGGTTAAAGGCAGCGGCTCGGCAGAATGACAAATTTGAAATATTCGTTCTCGGTTTCTCTGGTTTCCTTTGAGCTAAGTCCAAGACTTTGCAGCTTCAAAAGATATCAATAACGCGCTTTTCCAGAAGTGAAAAGTGCTCTTTGGGCGGACGGCGTATGCCTGCCCTCGAGCGCGATTGGCTCGTGGATACGGTAGGTACAGTGTCTCCATTCACAAGCCAATCGCGCTCTAGAGAGCAGGATAGCGGTCCGCCCAAACAGCACTTTTCAGTCTGGAAAAGCAAGTTTTTGATATCTTTTGAAGCTGCAAAGCACAGTGTTAAAACGTAGCTCGTCTAGGGGAACCCAGAACGATGAATATCCCAAAATTGCCATTCTGCCGAGCCTTTAATGCGAGGAAAGAGATCATTTTTTTCTCTCCGGACATCCTCAGGTGTCTATAATGGAGCTCCAAATTGTTGCTTCTGTAGTGAAAGGAATTAATAAGGCCGTGATAAGATTGGGACCCCCATAGAGATGAAGGTGGAGAAAAGGGGGAGGGGCGGGAAGCAGGGACAACAAATTTTGATTGAACTGATGGGCTTGGAGTTGACCAGCTCCTCAAGGGGTTTTTACACAAGGCTGATTTTCTGAAAAAAAAATCGCTACTAACCCTCTGGCATTTCATTTCTGCTCTTCCAAAACATTTCTTCGAAAATTCAAAAACTATGAAAAAACGATATCCCCTTGCCTCCAAAGGACTATAAAGGACCTTCTGACCTCTAAAGCGATGTATAGTCTTAATTTTGAATTGAAAAAAATACATTAAAATTGAAGAATTTGAAAATACGCTTCGGTGATGACACAGTGAATACATCCCACACATATTGACAGATAAATATGTAGTGGAATATCACCTTGAATAGATACAGAGTCACTGAATTATTCTTCATTGAATGGGTACAGCAAGCGTTTAAAAAAGTTGAATACTGTTTTGATGGAAAATGCCCTCTATTTCAATGCTCTGAAAAGTATAGCTAAATGAAATGAGAAGATCTAACGATAAGTTGTACAAATGCGATGAGGAAATCTAAGTAATAAAATGCGTAAGAGAAGTAACCGGAATAAAACACCCACAAATAGAATAATTTCTCACAAACGAAGTGCGTCATTATGGTACATGGCATCAAATTCAGTACATTGTAGCAGTTATAGGCTTAAGTACACACTTGAGCATGAGATAAGCAGATTTTTATGTTGGCTTGAGTTCATAGAGGTTGTAAGCATAGAATAAGTAGCTTCATGAGTTCAGAGAAGCACCCTCATATCACATTCCACGATACCCATAGGTAGTGGAAATTATGCTATTCTATAGATCACAAAATTTCAGACAAGATTTGTACCCCATGTTTGTCCAGCTTATTGCGTTCTATTACGTGGCTGATTCGAAGCGGTAGCTCCCAAATCGTTGTCCAAGATGATGGTTCCGATATCGTAAGTTTGGGGAACAAACACCTTGAATTGAGGCAGCGTGATGACTTCCCCTTCGTCGTTGTTGCAGAAGTGGCGAACCTAGAAAAACTCAAATTAAAAGGCTTCGAAAATAGTAATTCTGTCCTTGAGATACTGACCTCGATGTAAGGTTCGATTTTGTTGTTCAAACCCGGTATCCAGTCAAAATCATCGCCGCAGCCATCTAGTTGAAAACGACCATCTTCATTAGAGAACGTCACACTAAAACAAGCGCATTTGTTTCTAAATGTACAACGGTTCCACTACTTCACAATCTGAATCTTTACTAACTAGGAAAAGAAGCTGAGTAGAATCAAATTTTTCGAATCGTGAATGCTGATAAAACCTGACAAGTTTCGCACTAGCTGGCAACTTTTAGAAGCTGGACTTACCCCATAAGATCATCGGGGTCAATGAGTTTGAAGGGTCCGAATGAGTCTCGATCCCACACACGGACCTGTAATTTGATACAGTTGCGAAGTCTCTCTCATCATCCGTTCCAGATCAATACACGGACAATTTATCGAGATAGTAAACTTTCTGAGCAGAATTTTTTTCCGAAAGCTGGTGATGTGCGACAAAAGTCTTCAAATGACAAGGATCGCCAGAAAGCTGTGTTTTAAGTAAATTTTTTATACAGTTTGTAACACTAACATTCCACCAGGAGCAATTCCCGATGGACGCTATCAAGTTTTTTTTTTTTTTGAAAAATTAGGTCTCATCTGATGAAAACAAGCGATTTCGTCCTCATATCAAAAATATAGAACTATGTTGTTCATTTGTTCCCATTTTAATCTTTAAAGAAAAATACTGATGCTCATTTCAACAAGATAAAATCGCAAATTAATTATTATTGAGCAGAAGTATCCGCGAAAATTAGGGCCATAAAATCTGAACCTACCTCTACATTCAAATTTTTCGAAGGATCGCGTTGGCATTGTACACGTCCTAGAATCCATACGCAATCTTTGCCAGCTAAACAAATTGGAAGAAAGATTGAGAGAAGGAGAAATGAGATCATACCTAAAAATAGAATGTGATCTTTGTAGAACTAATTGACAATATTTAAATGTACAAGTACACAACCAGCGAAATGAGCGAAATTGTAGAATGGAAAATTTTGGAAGAAATCCTAGGTTTCGATCGATCCGTAATTCTGCATCAGTGGGAGATTATAGGTGCTCTATGATTTAATATTCTTCTATGAAACTAATAAAAAGAGAGATCCTAATTGATAATAATTTTGTTTTCCAAAACCAACATTTCTCGTCTCAACTTTTTTGCTATAAACCTTAACATGCCAACCAAACGGTTCAACCGCTGTGTCCCACCAATCCGGTTCAGCGATAAAATCTGGGTCTTCAACATTAGTATAAACTTAAATTGTTGTGACAGAGTCGCTGCAGCAGTGTGTAAAAAAGACGAACGGACCTCCGTTAGTTGCGCAAAATTTGGATTTTCTAAAAGTCTGAAAAAAGGTTATACAGATTACAAGGTTACAGAAAAACGATGGGCAAACCAATTCAAACCAAATTTTATACTTATGCTTCCTTTTGAAATTGTGATCCCGATCATCTAATTGAACAAATCGACTTTCCTCTCATGCGGAAACAAAGCTATTGCCTAAAATCATTCAACCTATGGCCCAAAATTGGATAAGATCTCGTGCTTTTCAAGTACGATAAATTACATTCGTACAGATGGATTTAGAACAAAGCAACGTGAAGATCTATCGCCGAAAAAAAAAAACGCTGCGCTGAGGATTCGAAGATAATTCAAATTTGGCCTTATATGAGGCCCATTAGCAGTTGCAGGGTAGAACCGGTTTGCAGTAATTAGGAGCAGGAAAAATATTTTCAAGAACTACGTAGAAGTGTCAAAGTCACTAAATTAGAATGTCTGAGTCATACTGTGTAATACTGTGTAAAATAAATCACGAACTCGAGTTTGCTGAACAATTATCAAGCGTTGAGCAAGGACTCAGGAAAAAATGCATACTATATAATGTACTTCTCCAATTCCAGTGACATACTACTGAACATCTGTTGAGTGCTGAACTACTGACAGCTATCTCAGCAAAGGATCGAGATGCATTCGATTTGCGCTGTGATATCACGTGAGATCTGGCTGCCAAACCGAAAAGATCGAACCTCTAACTAAGCAATGTGATGCAATGCACAATATGTGACAAGAGAGAATAGACAGGAAGAAGGACTCCCGAAAATTGGTCTCAGTTACACTTCATGTTTTTGAAACCTCTTTTCAGATAACTGCTCTCAGAAAGTTTTTGCCAGAAAAACTTCGCATCCGAATGGTAATTTCCGCATTCGTTGAACACGAATATCCTGGATCTCATGATCAATAACTATGCTCCGTGAGCGCCTAACTGAATTATGCTCTGAAGTTTGGCTTTTCGGAAGAAAAGACATGAGATGACAACCCACGAGCCTTGAGATCAAATTTCACCGGTGGGATCAAAACCAGTGGCGGACCAAAAGCCCCCCCCCCCCGTGGGCTGCACTCAAAGTTACTTACATAAGTTGTGGGATTGTGTAAGTGACTTGTTTATAACTGCAATTGAAATGATTTTCCAATTTGTATGGTCATCTTTTGTTTTTGTTTTTTTTCTGAAAATTCAAATTAGCCTTGTAAAGACCCTTTCGGGGTTGTGGGCCCGCAGAACTTTGGAAGCATACAAAAATAGTTTTCGGAGTGCGTTTCTGACGCACCTTATTCGAAAATCCTTTAAAAATGGATGCCCACCCCATCCCTACAACAACAATGGAACTTCCTGGGACTGCCGCCGATGACAACATATCCGTAGTCATCAAGATACGAAGCAATGACCTCAAAAAATTTTGAGACCAAGCTCTTTGACGATGTCTACGAACACTGAAGACTCATTGAGGTGATGAAATGGCGGTTTTCAAAAAGATAGATTTGCAATGCATCTGACACTACAACACTAGATGGCGCACTAAGCTCTACTCTCCACGTGCAATATCTTTTTCCTTTCAAAAAAAAAGTTAACCAATCCTTAACACAGAAGTGAAAGACCTTCAAGGTGCAATTCTGCCATCTGAACGTCTTCCTTGCAAATCTGAGTAAAAAAAAGCCATTCATTGAGCACAGTAAGTGGATTGAAAAGCCACAGAATAATGATTTACCACCCGCTTGCAAAACAGCAGAAAATGACGAACTGAACAGGTCTTAAGTATTGGTGTGCTAGGAACTGCTATGTCACTGGTGAAGATGACTCAACAGCGCGAAGTGCAAAAAATGTTACACCTTGGAAAGAACCGTGTTCGATAGTTGATTGACAATCTGCCATAGAAGAATAATTTTGATGTTACACTAAGAGAAAAGGAAAATAGAGATACTCAGATGTTGGACGAAGTGCTGTGAAATTACTTTCTATACGGAACATAGACAGCTTCTTTGTACTTTGTACTGAATCGTAAATCTCCCATCCAGTCAATTACATTGACCTTTCACTCCAATCAAAGTCACATTCAGCGAACGAAATCACTTCTACGAGATTCGATTCCAAACATTTGCAAAATTGAATTTATGAATGAAAAATCAATCAGGTTAAGCATCTTCTGAGGCCCCCCCCCTCGGACATTCACGAAGCTTTGGTAGTCATTGAGTTGATCCAACCAGACATTTTCTTCAGTTTTCGTGAAGAATCTTTATAAAGAGCAAAAGATTCTTGTGAAAGAAGAGAAAAACTGGATCAACGGTTTAGGCGCGTATCAACGATAGAAAGACATGACTGATCGTCTGATCGATGCTCTCGATAACCCCAAATCCTGTTTTTCTTACCAATGATTCATCTTAGCTATGCAAAATATGCACCCTGCTCCTATGAACATTCATAACACTCTTCTCACTCACAGAGGCTATTGTACAGTGAAAAATAAGGAAGGGAGCAATATAGATCATCGAACTATATAGTAAGAATTTTTGCCTTACGTACAGTGCTTGAAGCCACCCCTAACCAATAAAATAGTTTACAGATTCTTGAGACACCCTTCAAAGTGGAGTACCTCTTCAACACTTCTTATCCCTCCTCTTGTCCAAGCACGACGTTTTTACTCATGCAAAATCTTATAAAGGACCTGATGAGAAACTTCGCGAAACTTTGAGTTCGATAATGTACCGACAACGATTGACCCTATAATGAAAGTGCGAGATCTTAAAATTATGACGTCCGATCTAGCAAAGCGAAGTCTAAAAACATGAGGTAGATCAAATGGGTCAGACCGTGATAAAACGTTTTTGTGGGTAATCCGCTCGATCTGAATCCTACAGAAGTAGCACCAGGCGAAAAAGATAGCAAATCCAAGACATTTTGTGGAAAGCATAAAATAGAAGAACTGATGTGCCGCGTTTCAAAAAGAGATGCAAACCAAAAAGACAAGGATAGTGCTGAGTAGAAGCACATAATATAACATGACGGATAGTCATGCAGCTTACATAAAAAAAACTTCGCGCATTTTATAAACATAGCATGTCAGTAAACAGAAAGGACAGATCAAAAAACGGAAAACTTTGCAAAGCTTCGGAAATCTCCAGACTAACACAGCGTTTTGGAAAAGGGCAAGAATGAAAAGGATCACACGAGCTCTATTACTGCAAATGAATAAACGACTGTAAGAGACATTTTTTTTCCAAACGTGATTCTCTACACAGTGATGTTAGGAGTGGTAAACGCTTATTGCCTACTTTATGAGAAGGTAATACTGCCATAAATGGAGAACAAATTCTTTGGTGAAATATAAGACCTAGATCCGCAGGAACACCTCCCCTCCCCCTTTATAGTTATCAGCCACTCATTAGGCATTTGTACAGCTCAGGATACTAGCGAGAGTATCAAGATGGTATTCGATCGAGAACAAAAAATATCTATACAGCAGGATATGGAAGATAAAATGAAAATATTGGAGTTGTCTTGTCAGGTATTATGGCAATCTCCGCTTTCATTCCAAGCACCTCACACATTGGGAAAACTTTACCATGAAAAATAATCAGAAGAAGAAAAAAACGGAAAAGGAAGTAGAGTCTCAGTTATTCCAGATCTAAATACTCAATTGTAGCACCGGTCAAGAAAGAAAATGTCCGAAAGAGTGTAAGAAACTGCGAAAGAATTCGTACAATATAAAAATTATTACAAGATCAAGTAGCAACTAAAGATGAGTATTGAAGTAGCTTTCAAGACGCGTTGAATAAGTAGCATATTTACATAGCACAGAGTTTAAGTATGAAGCAGAGACTAAATCCCTATTTACAGAACATCCTCGTCATTCCCGATCAAGAACTATTGGGTGATCGACGAAATAATCCATTGTTTTTGGCGCAAATACTTTCATATTTGGTGGAATTACGATCATCTCCTCTAATCTGAACAAATTGATGTATGACACAATCAGACGACAAATGACGCGTTTTCAGATATAATTCGAACTTGATCACCTTTCTGAATTGCACATATGCCTGACTTTGAAGTAGAACTCTGGTCTATTGATGTGAAGTGGTCCTAACCAGTCAATATCAGAAGCACATCCTACAAAGAAGTATCAGCATTGAACAAGAAAGGATGAAGAGAACTTGAAATCTCAGTCATATGTATGTAATTACAACGATCAAGACGATTGAACTTTCTCTACATAAATTAGATATAGCGTAATTCTTGTTATATATCCACTTCTTAACTAAAAGCCAAAAACTGGCTGGATATGAGATGAGATAATCCACCTAAAATTTACAATTTTTTGAATTATCAGAGTGCTTTCCCCACAAAAGAGGAAAAAAATAGGAAAATCTGCAATGAGAGCCGACAGATGTTTCTGCCATTCTATGAAATTTTATGGTGGTAAATATTAAATACCAGAGTAATCTCTATGTAACAAAGCCACAAGCAGATAATCTCACATCAAACTTTCTTACCTTCTACCTTGAACAAGCCATCTTCGGCATCCACAACTGTCAGTCCAGCTTTATCATCAGGATCAAGCGCATCGATAGCTCGAATCTGAATATGGCTGCGATGATAACTTGATTAACTAATGTGGATAAAATTTGCCCAGGATAATGTGAATCTCATCATGCAAGCTGCTGTAATCACTCACACTTTGTGGTCCATCCTTATCCCAGACTTCCACGACAGCATTTAGAACTCGTTTCTGTTCTCTGTTACACACTAACCGTCCGATTGCCCATATACACTCGGAATTCGCCCACACAGCAGCTACGATGCACAGCAGAGGAAAAATCAACATCGGCTCAAATGACAGATATATTATTAATTATTTGACACGGAATCCGACAGAAACAAGACGTTATCACGCACTTCGATTAATAATTGGAGTTATACAAGTAGATTTATTACAGGCGTAGAACAAATGAAATCCATAACAAGCGCCGCCATCAAAATTCATTCGGAGTGATTTCACATACAAACAAAAAGAGATAACAGGCTCAATAATAAATAATTTAGTCTATTCATGCATATCACCATCGAACGACAAGACCCCTAGTTTATCAAGAGAGAAGTTTGAAAAAAAGATGGGTTAGGCAATGGCACTGGCCAGCAATTCCGCAACTTCCGATTGTTCGCAACTGAAAAAAGTTGATATTTTCAAAATCTATAAAAAATAAAATCAACGCAATTCGAAATCAGCAATGATCCGTGCAGTAGACTGAGAATAATGAAGGAGCATGAGTAGTTACACAATAGTATTCAGTAGTAAGCAGTGTTAAGTAGTAATACGTATTTTGCTAAAGTGGTACTAGAAAAGAGCAGATCGTTGCGAAAACAATAACAGGAGTTGGCCTTAGCGGTTGATTTTAAACCTAAGATGTCTGCGTAAATTTTAATGAAAGAAAAGCTTGCAAACAACACCAACCGTTTACCAGCAAGACATCCTTATACTTATTCCGTGATTCTGTGTTCTTATAAGTAAGAGGATCGTGATATATATGCAGATGTGGAACAAAGTGGATTGTGTTATGCACGAATCAAACAAGCAACTAAACTATGAGTCGACTGCAGACCAGTTCATGAACTAGAGGATACCTTCGGAGAGCACCCAAAAGAAAAGAGGGCAAAGCACGCAACGCTCCTCGCGAAAGCAAACAGATCTTTGCGGGGCAGTGAGGGAAACAAAACACTGAGTAATGGCTTGCGTCAACAGTGATATATGATGGGCTACTGAGCGAGATAGGCGCAAGATGGAAACGTTCTCTTTTCCGAGAAGGAAAAGGACTCACCGTACGAGGATGTTCATATTTACCGATTTATCAACCGGATCCACAGCAACATTCAACCGAGCAAGTACCTAAAGGCACGTGCATTATCGAAACAACAAGAACTTATAAGATGCATAGTCTATTAGACTTTCCGCTCAATGAAGCTGCTTGCGGTACCGAGGAAATGCGATGAAATTTGCGCGGGATTTATTAGAAGCCAATGCCGGCATTCGGTATTCGCGTGGCTGGTATAGCGCTGCTGCTTGTCACGTGCAAATTTTAGCGCAATTTCTCAGCATCGCAAGCATGCTAAAGTGAGCGGAAAATCTACTAGATTGTAAATAACATCCGCACAAGACTACAAAGATGCAGCTATTACCTCATATCCACCGCGGAACACTCCGGCTAGCATTGTTGAATGCTGAGTTTTGCCTTCTGGTACCCGATCACTACGCTCACATGGCGCCATTCCCAGCAGTTCCGATACCTGAACATACTTTCATTATAAAAACACACTGCACACCGACGCTGCAAGAATGCAAGAAGCGGATAGCTCCTACCTTCTTGATTGCTTCATTCAGTGTGTTGACGGTAGTAAGCGTGAAAGTCTCGTCTACAGTTTTCACACCATCCATAGCTTCCCAAGATGCCATAAAGTTTTGTTTGATTACCGGAGCCACCAGGTCACCAACCGATAATTCTAGCTCTTCCAGCTGAATATACGCGTTAAAGCAATAATTTTTTTAATAATTTGAACCTTCTTTTGAATGCATCAGAAAAATATTATAACAAGTCTTGAGTTGAAAAATATGTATTCCATAAATTACTGACCACATAGCTGTCTTCGTAAGTGTCATCGGATTCTGGTTCACCAGTCGCTGGATCAACGTCTTTTACGTTAAATTTCAGTGTAGCACCGAAAGTACCAGTGACAGAACCTAGAATACAGATGCTCACAATATAGATGCTAGATGCTCGCAGCGAACATCAAAAATCGAAAATAGCTGGGGAACACCAGAGAAGCACAAGTGACTGTTTCGACCCACCTGATTCAGGAAATTCCATCAGAACATATGTAGGTTTTGTCTCATTATATGGCAAACTGCTGATAGGAATAGTGTGATCCACTGACCATTCGCCGTCAGGATCTTCCAGTTCTACAAAGACATCTTCCAAAAGTTGGTCGTTCAAAGTGTTTTTGCAGTCCAGCTGAAATATCACTTCACAGGTAGAAACTTACAAATAAAGCTCAACGCACCTGGATGACAACGTGATTTGTAAAGATGTGTTTTATGGCATGGACGGTGTATTCGGTGACTTCGTCAGTTAGAGCAACACGTGGTGATGAATGGAATAGAGGACCAAGCTGTGCGAACTCCGGAATTTGAGACAACTGTTCTGCAAAAAATTTGTCTGAGCTAGAACAATTGCAATCAAAAAGTTCGGTTCTCAAGTTTGCTCAAGAGTCTCTCACCCGCATAAGGCTCCTTCTTTGCCACAACAGGTTTCTCCGCAGGAACGTCGGCTAATACAGGTGCGCGCTTTTCAGGTTGCGAGAGTGGCTGGCTAGTCACAGGCACGACGCGCAAATCAAAAGGAGTATTGAACGAATCTCCTTTGACGTAATCAAACAGACAACGCTCAAGGCTTGATGGAAGCACCTAGAAGAAAATGTTGCCGCTGAGTTTTGCTTTTATAGTAGAAAGCACCTGTAATCCTTCCAAAACAAAATTGTTGATCACCGAAGCGCCAGCATCAGCAAGAAGTGTGAGGTAGAAAGTAGCCCGATCACGAACCTGAATCCGATAGAGAACACTTCCAAATTTGTTGGAAAAAATGCAAAAATACCGCTACCTCGTCATCACTATCCAGCAAGCACCTCTTCAGCAGTACTTGGATTGAAGGTCGAAGCTCTGCACACTGCGCCCCGAATTTGGCTAGTGCTGTAACAGCCGCCGCGCGTACCTAAGACACAGACGCTCGCTTTCATGAATTCCTATGCCGTCGGCAAACCTTGGTGCTCTCTAAGATGACGCGATTGTAGATAAATCTGATATAACTCGAGGGGTTTGGCGTCTTTGGAGCTTCTCTGCCGAGAAGATGCAATACTCGAGTAGCTAAGCTATCGTGTTCGCAATCTTCAATGAATTCGCAGAGGTGGGCGAGACCTTAAGATGACGATGGTCCTGCGCCAACGACAAAATACATCCCATAATATACACTAAGATTGAGGCTTCAACGCCTTATACTGAAGATTCGTTCGATTAACTTTCGGAACGAGGGATGCAAGTACGATACCAAAAAAGCGGGAATATACTCACCAGCCGTCTTTGCATCCGGGTTTTCTTCTACGATAGCAATGATTGTCTCAACAATTGCTTTCTTGTATTCGTATCCGCCATCATTCCTGCAAAATCATGATAATCAAGCAGATATATGTACTGGGGGTTTCATACCTCAGCATATTGGCGAGGAAAGGCATCATAACTGCATGTTTTCTTGGATAACGAGCACATAGAGAACGAATGGCGTCGACAACAACAATCTGGAATTATTTTTCAATATAGGCGTTGCTCGGAAGCTACAGACATTCAAACAACTGTAATGGGCGCTTACTTTGAACTCATCACTGATCTCCGATACGAAAGAGCTGATCTGCTTCATCAAACGTTCCACACTGCTTTCAGCACCTGTTTTTAACAGTGTCGTGATAGCAAGTGTTGCGATCGACCTAAGAAGATGCAATGCATGCAGCAAACTTCTCAACATAAATAGATACCGTGCGAGAAAACGAACCTGTTCGAATCAGTGATTAGCTTCTCTAAGTCAACATTGCAGCTCATCACCGCATTGGGATGTTTTATGGAAACCTAAACTTATTTGACTTCGCGTCAGTCGTTACCTTTAGGTTCAAGGGTATGACAGTTCAACAAAGGCAAAGTGTTAACCTTGTTCAGTGTCCGCACAGCGGCAAAGCGAAGAGCAGCTTTCGGTGATGAACAAAATAGCTGAAGCACTGAGATAGCAGGAGCAAGCTCAGCCCTATAACGGCTTCACTCAGTCCACTTATACAGGCGGAGCAAATTCTCTCATATCAGAAACTTACGGAGTAGTATTTGGGAGTGCAACGATCGCGCTTGCGGCTTCATAAACCACCATTTCGCTTTTGTGGCGGAGACATGACTCGATAAATGAGAAAATCGATGAATCGGCCCTATATTGTCGTTCTAATATTCTCACATGGAAAGGAAAAAATGAACATTACCCCTCATCTTCTTCAATGAGTCTTGCTGCAATGCGTATGAGATAGCAGACTGCATGCGGGGATCTGGAACAAAGGTGCTCGTTCCGCATAGTAGACTTATGTCAACGAACCTCAAGCCAGTCTTGCTGAATTTCTGAACTAATTTGTTGACAGCTAGACGGTCATTGCTTCGAATATGGTAGAGCAAGCCTAGTGCATGGTACTGCACCATATTATTGTCGGATGACACAGCTTCTTGAACCTCATTGGCCCATCTTCTAACAACCTGCAGGAAGAGAGTTAATGAAAGTCAATGAAGTGACAAGAGGATGCCAAATCATAAAAATCATACAGTAAGCATAAAATGTAAGAGAATTAATCTCACTTCCGCACTTTTCCTCATAAGGTGCTTTGAGGAAACCAGCGCAGCAGACGAGACGGCACCATTTTTGTCTACGATAGCCTGCAAATAAAATTCAGTTTCGGAAAACGACCAAGTCTATCAAAGAAAACGCTGTACATATTACGCTCAGCCTACTCAAGATAGCTATCATCAACAAGTGTTGCTAAATCGCTATGTTCTAAAGAACCTGTTTCATGTATCGCTCGATGGTTTGGAGCATTCCCGTGTCAGTAATTCGACATAGTGCCCTGATAGCAGCGGCTCGATAAACATCTTCCCGACCGGTCATATCCTTCAAACAAAACAATATCACCTTCACATGTAAGCACTAGCGCAACGATAGCAGAAGGAAAAAAATGATTTTCGAATAGTATAAATTGTCTTCAACATTAACTGATAAAAAGTGAACCACAATGGTAAAAATTCGACCACTTCTGGGTTTCTCATGAAACGGTCAACTTAGCTGACGAACCTTTGTAAGACTACTCGTTACGATAATGACATCGTCAGCTATTCCCGACAGATCCTTGACTGCGAGATAGACAAGGCGTCTAAGATTTGCATCCTTACTCTGCCAGAGCTTTGTCACAGCAAAGAAGGCTTCTGTTGCCTCGGTTCTACCGATAGTTTCACCTAAAACACCAAGCTTGTAAAGGGTAGAAGTGCACAGAGAAGTAACTCCCGACCTTGCTGGATCATGTACAGTAGCTTGGTGAGGATTATGCTGCATTTTCTGGCATTGATTGGTGTCTCGTTGAATGCTCGAGCCTGATAGATATACACTTTGTAGAGTGATTTGCATTTTCCTCGAATCATAAGCATGGTGGACCGCTGTCATTTGTTATCTAGAGTCTTCTCAGATCTTCTTCCCACATCATTCACAAATTTTGGTTCAAGTTTTTCTTCAATGTAATTTACCTTACAAATTACAGTTTAAGCATGGAGGAGTGCAGCAAGACTGTGAAAGGGAGAAACGGTGCCAAAATCACGAAGATATCGGGAAGAATTGAAGCGAAAAAAGCTAACCTCTTGCAACACCGATGTCTTGTCGAGGTGTGCGAACGGATTTCCGCCAGTTTCCTCATCCTTCTTGTCTCTCTTCATAGTTCGCGACGGAAGCAGTGAAGTTGCAGCTTCAAGCACTAATCAATGCCAACATTTAATTGTAATTCGAGTCACGACAACGACACCACGAACCCCAGGCCAAAGAGGAGCCATGTGGAAATTTGACAAAGCGAAGAGCAGGCATTATAATGACGAACCAACACAATAGAGGAAGGGGTGATAAACAGAATTAGCGCGCAAAAACCAGAAACTCAAGACAGATTCATGCACCACGACACCTACGACAAACCTCCTCTGGCGCTCTTGTCCGCCGGCATCCTAGGATGACAAAACTACAGTAAACTAACTACGAACTCATAAACAAAAGAAAGTGCAACACATATGAACATAACTCTACCTAAGAAAGACTGTGAAAGGGAAGGAAGACCAAAAAATTGATTGTGCGACACGTGTTGGATTACAACAGTGCTCGAAACACTCGCAGTTGCCATACAGATTGGTGTCAACTGGCGTGTGGTGAATGCAAAAAAGGTTTCGTGATTTAGAAGAACTTAAATACTGCGAAATGGCCGTTGTCATTGGAGCGCGTTTTCGACTTGGGACTTGAGTTCCGCCTAGATTTCGCTTACGTTGGGCTGTAGTAGGAACAGGGCCCTTTGTGAAGGGTGATTGTGTACATATAATAGCCCCTGTCCATGGATGAGGGGTTCTCCACCATTGCTTACGATTGTGATATCGATATGCGTTAGGCTTTGGCCATACCTTGCTGTGTTACCAGTGTTACTCGTGTTACTCGTACTCGTGTTACCAGTGTTACTCATGTTAACACTGGTAACATCGGTAACACGGGCAAAGTATGGCCAAAGCCTTAGAATAGTAATCTTGCTCAGTCAACGTAAAAAGCCGGTGCTATAAATCCAACGCGACTTCACACAAAGATGGTGTCAGGGGTTATCAAAGTTAGAAAAAAGTTTGACAGTGCGAAATTATCACGATACTTGTGAACAATCTGTCAAATAAGCCCCTACCCCTTGCGAAACCCAAACCTTAGATTATGAGTTCCTGTGTTGTATAAAGTGGAAGAGTGTCGCTCATTTCTTCGAAGTCATGTCGCGTAAACACTTCCTTGTCTAGTGATGGGTTTATTCATTACATTTTCCCGTCTGTATAGAATTGCTGAATGGATCACTGAACGTGCGTTTACTTTAATTTTTCAATTACTCGAGTCGAACAAAGAAAAGTCAACGGTCAAAATCAGATAGAACACATCCTAGAATATGATTAGATGGCATGAAGAAAAGCGCCTGATATACAGCGATAACGTAGCAAGTCAATGTCCACAACATGATAAGTACATTCCTAGAAAAAAAATACAGCTTAGCGTACATCATGGCAGTATAACACATCGAAGGGATGATGACGCAAATTTAGCAAATAGAGTGAAGAAATTGAAAGTTGAAAAAATCAAGAGTTAACAAGTGAAGAGATTGAAATGATCAAAAATCCTTGGGTCGCATCCTTTACAGTGCTTGTGAAGTGCTGCGGCGTCTATCCCTATGTATTTGCAATCCTTTTCAATGCACGGAAAGTAAGCCAGATCCGGCTCAAATCGCCTCCATTCGTTTCAGCATGATCGCCTCCGTTCATTTTATGCCTAAAGGATTGAGCTGAGAGAGCTAGGATAACTTTGTAACAGAGACACTAGCATTGCGGTGCGTCCAGCAGCATTTGTTACCATCGAAGACTGCGGCAATATGCTGGCTTCACTCGTGGATGGTAAACCAAAAAGAAAAAGCGCTGAACGAAAGATACTCTAATAATCTTTTAAGTTAGAAAAACACAAAGTTTTGAAGATGACAAATACAAATACAAAATGGGCGCTGTTCCCTCAGGGTCTCAAAAACTCCAAAGAGTATATTTCGCCCCAACTCGGTCCAGGGGATCATCAACCTGCTGACCACGTATATCGCACTCTTTTTGCACAGCGTCATCAGATTCGGTGGTTCCGATGGGGACGCTAATGGCTCAAAATTACGATTTGGCTAATTCTTGTCTGGGAGGGTTGTTCGACATTATCATGGACTAGCTGGCTTGCCCGGCTCCGCCGGGCCTGCCAGCTAGACCCGTGTACGTATGTTCCGAATAGAATTGGGACCGAACTTTGCACACATACACTTCGGGGCACGGAGCTTGTCACAGTCCACTTTTCGTTATCGATCGATGTCGATTTTACCGATTTTTTGCAAAATTTGAGCTAGGGGGCTAGGATTTTGCACAGGGGGGTAATCGAGCATGCTGATCACCCCCTTCGGGGTGATCAGCATGCTCGATTACCCCCCTCTGCCAAATCCCAGCCCTCTAGCTCGAATTTTGCAAAAAATCAATAAAATCGATATCGATCGATAACGAAAAGTAGCCTATGACACGCTCCCTGCCCCGAAGTATATGTGTGCCAAGTTTGGTCCAAATCGGTTCAGAAATAAAAATTTCTATTCCGCACATACGTACAGACATACATACAGACAGACATACATACATACAGACAGACATTCAGCTTTATATATAGGATACCTACGTTTTCTGCTCAACCACGTCATCCTTGGTGGTGACCGTACTTTACCGTAGCAATGAAAGAAACTTGGACAAAACTCTCAACAACAACGACAAAGTTTTGGACAAAAATTCGGGAATATCGAGGTTCAATTGAAACCGAGTTTCGGCAGTGATAAGCCGAAATTCGGTTTCGAATACATTCAAGTTGCTATTTTCCAACAACATTTTTTTTGCAAAAAGCTATGATGACAAGTCTAGCATGTGAGAATGGTGGTCAGGTGATGTAAAAGAGAGTCGAAAACACAAACTCCTAATTGAGCCTCTCATCGTACACCATCGTAAACACCCAATGACATTTTTAAAGCATAATGTTTCGACCAGCATGGTCAACACTCCCGATAGACTGAGCAACAGCGCCAAGAACTGGTCATATCTTGCCACTTTTCCGACAAAAAGACAAATTAACATACCGGTAGTCTCTGATGCTCTCGTCCAGCTTGTTTTTTCCACGTTTAGCCGATCCGACAGAGGAACACCGCTTCCACCGGATATTTTTCCATAAGAATTGTGTGGTGGTTCAGTGGGTTTTTGGGGGACTCTTCGATGACTCAGCCAACACTTGGGGAGTAAGAATGTTTATCGGAGCACAAATACAGCCGGCTTGTTCCGGCACACGATACAGTGAAGAGTGATGGGGAATCGGCCAGAGGAGGTGGCCGATGAGCACAAAGAGTCAGCCATGTGGCAGACTCTTTGTGCATAAAATGAATAACGTGCACAAAATATAAACAAAGTGCAACAAAGAGTTAAGCATGGGTCGTGTCTTTATCACGACAAATTGCACTCTGGAAGGTGAACAATATGAAACAACCACAGAATGACAAATAACGAGCAAAACCGAGACAGTACAGAACATCTAAAAGAGGAAAGGTCCACGATTCAAGCAAGAAAAGAACACATGTTACGAAAATGGAGCACAGCGCTGAGTTCTGAGATGAAAACGCGCTCCAATGACAACGGCCATTTCGCAGTATTTAAGTTCTTCTTCGTGATTTTCTTCATTCTGCATTCTTCGCAGTTGGAGAATGCTCAGAAGCAGTTTACTTCACCAAGGAAGACGATTTCTCACTTCTGATATCAGAAACGATTTGAGAAAGTGAGTCATTGGGTGAGCTCAGCATCAAGTTGTACATCTTGACAAGGGCGAACAAGTGGAAGAGGAGTTTTCTCCGTGCTTTTTTTGCTCATTTATCGCGCAATGTCCCTATCTGTTTAGGCGAATCGTTGTATGTCCAAACGGTGCGGTAGCTGCTTGGCATCCTGCTCCTGCATTCCCTTACGAACATACGAGACCTGTGGAGCTACGGAAGAACGAGGAAGAGGAGGTAAACCATAATGTCATCACTTGTTTGTGAGGGTGAAAACCCGAATTATTTAGTTCGCTGGACAAATATCGCTCAAATTTCGCACGGTAGCATTTTCTGAGTCGGTTACGTTGAAGGTTACGGTAGGGGTCGAAAGCCCAAATTGGCTCGAACCATGGAACGGGGAAAAAATTTCTTATTCTTCAGCATGCTCCTTACGATGAATACGATGTGAACCATCGTAATCAGTTTCGAATTACCCTCCTCCATCCCCATAGGGAGTTTTGGGGTATTTTTTGGCCAGTTACCGTACACCTGCCGTAACCTCAAAAACGGCTCTGCGCATTACAATATGATCTTCATGACTTCGCCAAACCCTTCCAGCAAGTTGTTTCTAGGTTTTAGATAAAAATAGCACCTACACCACTTTTTAATCTGATCAGAGAGGTGTGCAGGCAAAACTGGACATATGGGGATCTCACGTGGACAGTAATTTGGGACCCTAACTAAGACACTGCCCAGTCGGCAGCTCAGATGGTGCTCTAACGGCTGAGATATTCGCCTCCAAACTGGATCCCAGGATCGTATCTTGCATGGAATCGTGGCGCGACACATCTTTTCCGCGTGGTCCCGCTAAGCATGCAAGGTGCAAATCTTCCGATGATATGGTGTTTGAGGTCCAGTCTGGAGGCGTATATCCCAGCCGGTAGTGAGTCATTTGCGGTGCCGCTTAGGCAGTGCCTTAGTTAAAGCCCCAAAATTACTTTCCACGTAATATCCCCATAGGTCTAGAGTTGCCTGGACGCTGCCTTCAAAGGCACCCGTCCACCTTGTGAGAGTCTTGAGCTTTTGGCAGCATATGATATTGGGGCCCCCTATCAAGCCAAAGCCCAAATCGCAGCGCAAAATGTTGCTTCGAAAGTGAGAAGATCGCTCGGGAATAACGATGTTGCACGAGGACCCCAGACGGCACCGCCCTCCCCATCCGTGCGCGCCCATACAATCACCGTTCCGGATAGCTAGCCTGGGTTTTTCGGAACAGGAGTTTCGGGGTTTTCGCGGATTTTCGACTTCATATTCGGAATCAGGCACATGAGAAGGCCCAGAAACAACAAAAACTTGGAAGTCGAGAATCTGGGTGGACGGTGCTTTTAGAGCCTATCAAATTGGTAGTTTATTTGCTATTTGGGAATGCAGATATCTGTAAAAGATATATGGGAGCCAAATTGCTGTTAATCATTTTTAGACTGCACTGTCTGCAGCCGTGAAGTGCACTAATCGGTGGAAAAAAGGTCCAGTCAACTCGCAGCTGAAGGATATTTTCTATACAAGCAAGCACGAGTGGTACACAAGGTTTGCCTTTTCTGCACTATACATGCGTGAATTACTCAAATTTTGATCACTATGTAAACTGCTTCGCAGCCGTCAATGCCTCATTTCAGAACAAGGGAAGAACGTCTTCGAAGTGTGGCTGCCCCGCTTCCTCGTCGAAAATAGCAACTGAATCTTCAAGTTATGCATTTATCAGTGTTACATTGTCGATATTTCAAAGTTGTAAATCTTGGTAAACTATCATACGCTAAGGGCTTAGAGAAGCAGAAGAATTTCGTTGAAACTGTCAAGAAAGCAAAGCTTCAAAATAATGTGTTGTGAGTATCATATCTTTGATCATGCTCGCATCTTTATCTTGCGTATTTTTTTTTTTTAGAAACTTCCTCTTAGCCGTAGAGCATACTCCTGTCTATACTGTAGGTATTCGCTCAAAGTTGTACACAGAAGAAGAGGAGCTGAAACTCAAAGCGCTTGGGGCTGACTTCTATAGGTATGCATTTTATCTCGATAGGGATGTCGGTTCAAATCATCATAGAAACTCAGAACTTCTCGTGGCGGACTGATCACATTTCATGGTCCCGGGCAGCTTGTGATATATCCTATATTCAACTTGAAACACATTGCTCCTCGTCCAATAGGTGTGAAGAAGTACGTCGAAATGCTGGAACAGGTTACCCTACCCTTGCTTAATAAATGATAGGTTGTCGAATTTTAGCTATCTCTCTAGATTGTGATTGATTGTGCAAGTGAAGACTTCAACGTATCAAACGTGGGGCGAACCCAGCACACAGGTCAGGAATTCTAACACAGGAGAGTTATCCAAAATACCCCCGACATCTTCACGATTAATAATGACGGCGACTCAAATACTTCAGCCATAATGTCTAGCTTCTGAAATGATTTCAGGAGTATGGGTTGGACAAACAAAAAAGCTTGCTGCTTTGGGAATAGCTGTTTCCCATGGAGTTTCGTATCACGGTCTGGCTATGAACTGCAATACAGATCTGTCTTGGTTTGATCATGTGAGCTCCTTCCTGCTCGCTTTTTCTTCGTAAATTATAAGTTTTAGGTAGTTGCTTGTGGAATAGAGGGAGCAGAAGCTACATCACTAAGTCGCGAATGTGAACGTGATGTAACAATCTCTGAAGCTCTACCCAAGATGGTTGCCCAGTTTGCAAAGATATTCGATTGCAGTGTAGAAGCATAGCTTTCGAGATCTCCTGTGGGGCATGGTATTCTTGGACGTTTCTATCTTTTGACATGTGGTCATCACCAAGATGTTCTTCTTTGTTGTAAGTTTCCAAAGATCCATCAGCTGCTTTGATCCGGAATGGTTGTAGTCAGGAGTATAGAACGTCGATGTTGTCATACCACATAGGTATTGCTTTTATAAAGCATTGTTTCAAACAAGAGAGTGCGAAGTCATCAGAAATGCTCATTTACATATCATGGTCGTTCATAAGAGTTGAAGTCAAATGCACAATTATTTATGCATGTTATTTATTTACTTATGTAGCCATCGGTACGCCACAAGGTCGAGTAAATCAGCAGGTTCATGAACAAAAAACAGATCTAGGAACACAGAACACAGAAATTAAAAAAGATTCAGAAACTTTTTGAGAGCCTGAGTCTAGAAACGAAAAAATGATGGAACACAAGGTCTAGCTATAAGAAGCTTTGAAGAGCATAAGTTATTGAGAGAATCGTAAAGACGGATTTGACTGCGATATTTGAGGCATCACCTCAACTCTCCAGTCACTTCCAGTGTCTGAATGCATCACATGTGAACAGAAAAACCATTCGAGTAGAGATGAAAACTAAGAAAATAGCGATTGTTGTGTATACGTGTGTGTCGCGCGCGGTCTCGCCATCGTCACGATTTTTCGAGTGCCCTATATCCATTTGAGTCTGCGCATGCCAATCTCGCTCACAGCAAGCGACCTGCGGCACGGTGGGCCCTAAAGCACCTAGATTTTATCCAATAGCCAGGGCTCGTAATATGGACTTATAATAAGCCGCTAAGCGTCTGTGTTTTTGTGCGTGTGTGCGTATAGTAAAATGAAGTGCACTTCACTAATGCTAAGCTACATGTTGAGAGTAGAATGGTTCATTGATCTTACGACAGAAAGCAGTATATAGGAATATAAACAATATTAATCTACTGGATCCTGGTAGGTTGCAAGGCTGACGATGATGACGGGGCAAGCAGCAGCCCAGGGATATCACTGGAGAGGCGCCGCCGGTCGGTCACCGGACATTGGAGTTTCTTCCCGCACCCCACGCGTATCGGCCACGCCCTAAAAAGCATGACTCATTACCGAACTCAATGTGCTTGTGCTCACACCTCCCCACTTTATTTTAAGTCCGTCCCGGACTTGAAACAAATGCTATAATGAATAAAACGATAGGGAAGCTACAAAAACAAAGGAAAATGAATAAATAAAGAACTATATACAAGTAATGAGAAGGGTTTGAAGGCGCACTCATCGTGGAGTTCCAAAATAGTCTTTAGAAATACCGTCCTAGGTCAGATCGGCTGACGATGGCTCTTATGGAGGTTGACCAACTGAAGACCCTGTTTGAGTAAGGGATCTTTTGTAGCATTCGGACATGTCCCAGGAGGATGAATTGCCCATGACGGCATCGCGAAAATGCCACATTCATCCTTCGGTAGTCGTCCAGAAACTCCGCTGAATTAGGATCAACATTAGTACGTGTCGTAAGAATGATAACAACCTCCTTTTCACGTCCTTGGACGGAATCTACCATTGACAAGTCGATCCCTAATTCCACGGCCCTTGAGAAGAGCCGTCGGTATTGTTCTCTATAGAATATGATTATGCAAATGGCATCGCAGCTATGCCCTTTCCAAATAATCGGTCAACTACAGTCGAGTAGATTTCCTGCTTAATATAGTGTCCCTGCAGACGCGACAACGCTGGGGCGTCAATAAATGCCTTGCCAGTTCCCGAGCTAGTGTTTTCCAGTGTTTTCTTTGCTTATTTCATGCTTTTTAGGTGATTCGTTGCTGATAAAGAAGAAAAGGGTAAGTTGGAGAGTAGTTCCTGTTTTCTGAGAAGCTCTATCGTCGCATATTCACAGATATCCACGTGGAAGCATTTCGCGTCAGCTTCTTGTCTATTTCTTTTTTGTCATTCCCTTTTCTTCTGTCACTTCTTCTTTCAAACCTCCTCCTTCTTGTGAGGGGTTTCTTTGAACGCTAGTTGGCTTGTCTTTCAGCAACTTCGGCTTTCATCCATAGGAAATAGCATTTCAATCAAGTACTTCATGTTAAGGACAATAAGTCAATCGTAAAAACCCACTAGCGTTCAAAGAAGTACCTCAGAAGAAGAAAGAGACATGAAGTGACAAAAAAAAATAGACAAGAAGCTGACGCGAATTGCTTCCACGTGGATACCTGTGAATATGCGTTGATAAAACTTCTCAGAAAACAGGAACTACTCTCTAACTTACCCTTTTCTTCTTTATCAGCAACGAATCACCTAAAAAGCATGAAATAAGTAAAGAAAACACTGGAAAACACTAGCTCGGGAACTCGCAAGGCATTTATTGACGCCCCAGCGTTGTCGCGTCTGCAGGGACACTATATTAAGCAGGAAATCTACTCGACTATACGTCCCAACAAGCGAGCGCTTCAGCCTCATTGTAGAGCGATTTGCTAGCAGCCCTGTCGAAGTTGATGGGATATCGACGAACATAAAGGGAATCGAGGGATGAGGAAAAGTCATTACCGACAGCAGCATTTGCCGATCCTCTCGCCGTAAGCCGCTAACTAGTTTGCCATTGTACTCCACACGGTTCGGCAGCTCTATGAGATCCGGGTGTGCGCGGAAAGTCGTTAGCAAAGGGGCTACAGGAACCGCGCGTGCTCTTGTCAGTACACTCATCACGCTCTGCCCCCCGGAACGTAGTGGATTTGATGAGCGGGGCCACTTAGCGTGAAGTTCCACTGATGAACGTCCTATGCCTGTTGATGATTTCTGTATCATCAACCATTCATGAACTCTATATTCTATATAGCCTACGGAATCCCCGTAGGCTAAATGGTGAGCTACTCACTCTTGAGTATCTATCGTCTGCGCCCCAGAGAGGTTCCCATAGGTACCACGTCATCTAGCTGCCTTTCGCACTTTTAAACGTGTTAACCTCGGGCAGTTCCGTTGAAATCTCAGGAGAAACGTGTCAAAAAGAGCGAAAGGCAGCTTGCACCACGTACGCGCGCTGGTTCACATGGGAACCTCTCTGGGGTGCAGACGGTAATCACTCAAGAGTGAGTGGTACCCGTGCGCCAGGAGTGTAGCCAATCGGCATCTCCTTTCAAGCACCAACTTGTGTACATTGTACCCTGTACTCGGTTCAGCTCCGCCTTCCTTCGTATAAAAGGAGCCTCCGAATGTATTAGGGGTTGCTCCCCGGTCCACACCGGGACACCTCATTCCGACTCTTCTCGAATAATCTACGCCCGTGCGAATAAACCTTATTCCACAACTCGTCTACCCCCTAATCACTTGGTACCCACCAAATTGGTGCATCGGCCAGTGATTTTCCTTGCATTTCTCGGCGAATCCTCCTAAGGACACGAGAAATCAAGGCCTAAGACCCGCGTGGCAGGCTCTACTATAGCCAATATTCGACTCTCGTGATTGCTGGTCCACCACTCTCACGATCAAGAGTCTTACTAAGTTGTCAGGTCCTATCCACAACTTAGTAGAGGTTTCTAGCTAATTGACTGGTTCACCACAGTTAGCGACAGACTCCTCGCACTCTCGGCTACCAATTAGCCAATATTCGACTCTAGTGATTGCTGGTCCACCACTTTCACTAATACGAGTCTTTCTAAGCTATCAGGTCATATCCATAGCTTAGCAGAGGTTTTTCTAACTAACTGACTGGTTCACCACAGTTAGTACAAGAACTCCTCGAGACTTTTGGCTTTCCTAAAGTCAAAAAAGGACTCTGTGATTGTTGGTTCACCACTTTCACAAACAAGAGTCATCTTGCGAAGCTATCAGGTCATGTCCATTGCCGAGCAAAGAGGTTTTTCTAGCTAACTGACTGGTCCACCACAGTTAGCAACAGAAATCCTCGATCTTTTTTGGCCTCAACCAGCCAAAAAGACTCTGTGATTGTTGGTTCACCACTTTCACAAACAACGAGTTTCATCTTGCGAAGCTATCAGGTCATATCCATAGCTTAGCAAAGAGGTTTCTAGCTGACTGATTGGTCCATCCACAGTTAGCAAAGAAATCTCAACTTTCCAAGCTCATTCACGATTGGTTCACCGGTCTTGAGCTTTGGATCGTTACATTCACGTGACAGGTCCCAACACCTTACCGTCCAGTACAGCGCATAAGCCAACCAGGCGCGCTTGCTGACAGCTAGTAGACGCTCGGCACTCAATTGCCAGCTCACTAGAAAGCTTCCTTGCAACCAGTAAGGACAGCTATCGTATCGAGGCCAGCCCTGCTGTCGCCCTCAAGCCAGCGATCAACACAAGGAGGATACACTTTTCCAAATTGCAACGCTTGGTATTACCACACCAGCGCACGACTCTACCCAGTGCAGCAGAAAAGAAAATGGCATCGCTCCAGCTTTTCAAGATCAGGATTAACAACGCCTGCAAACTCGTGAAGTCCCGCGAGTCACAAATCGAAAATATTGATGTCCCCTTTACATTCCCCACACTGAAAGAAGAATGTGAACAGTACATAAAAGAGAAAACGGGACTGATAACCAGTCTTCTCAACTCTCTACACAACGCAGTGAAGCTTCAAGAGACGCAGATCAACTCCGCGATCGAATACATCAGCGCACGGAATGAGGAGAAAGAGAGAGACAAGCTTATGACAGAACTCAGCAAACACTTGGAGTTGGAATCTCTTCATTTGGAAGTCAAGGTCGTGCAGTGGCAGAACAAAGTTCAGTTCCGTCAAAACGAATTGAAGGATCAAGCTGCATTATTGCTCACCAGTGTGCCAAGCACATCAAGTCATGCAGCCAGCAACGAAGGCCAGACCTGGAACAGCAGCCCCCCACAGCGCAACGAAAGGCAAATAAAAATCCGGAACCTCTGCTAGAAATTCCTACCTTCTCAGGGAACTTCAGAGAGTTCAACAGCTTCTGGACAGTGTTTGAATCTCTCATCCACGCCGACGAGGGCCTATCCGACACTGACAAGTTCCTCTTTCTGAAGCAAGCACTAAAGGGGAAAGCAGCAGCCACCTTGAGCTGTATACCCGTCATCGGAGAAAGATATCAGACAGCGATAGATATCTCGAAGAAACATTTCGATCGCTCTGCCAACATGGCAGATATACTTATCAACGAGATCGAAAAACTACCCAGGGCCTCAGATGATCCGAGAAGTTGCCGAAACACTTTTGAAGCAATCAACTCAAAAAACATTCACCTGGAGCAAACGGGAGCAAAGATGAACGCAGACAGACTTTGGCGTCGAATAATCTTTTCCAAATTTCCCGAATCCATCTGTACGACCGCCATCCAGAAAGAAGCGGTACAAGATGATCCATTTGATGTTAGCGAAATCCTGAACACCATCGACAGCATTATTTCACTGCGAGAGACAATCTTGCTAACAACGGAAACTCTCTTTCCAACCAACTACCACCCAAACAACCAAGAAAACGAAAGGACCACCAGATGCGATAGAGAAGAACACTTTTCGAAACCAAAACGTTTGTGTTTATGTGGACAACCACATTCTCCTCACACCTGTCAGAGATACACCACACCAGAAGCTCGGCGACTTGAAGCAACAAACCAAGGAGCGTGTTGGAGATGTTTTGCAAGCGATCACAACTCAAACGCTTGCACGAGTTTCGGTGTGTGCCCCAAATGCAAAGGATCACACCATGGATCTCTTTGCTTGTCAGAAGCAGGAAAACGCAGAGGATTCTCGATGCAATCCCGAAATCCTGCACTTGATCAACATTCATCTGCTCCTTGGTCATCACGTGACATCAATCAGGATCGTCATGAGAAGAGTAATACGCACGTCGTACAAGGCTCACGACAAGAAGTCTACAATCCCGAAGTGCTTCCACTTGCACAGGATCAATGCATTCTTCAAATTGTTTCGGCAACCATATTCAACGAGGCAGAGTGGGGTTACCAGCCAGTAACGATACTACTTGACTCCGGTGCACAACGAAGTTTCATCAAATCAGGACTTTGTGAAGAACTCAAGCTTCCAGTCCTTCGTACTACTTCGTTTACTACATCTGGGATGGGCGAGCAACAAGAGCAATTCAACTCATCTGAAGTACAAATCACCTTGAAAAGTCTTCACAGCTCCGAAAAGCTCAAGAACTTGTCAGTACACACTAAGCAGAACCTGACTACCGACATGCAGACAGCAAGTCTCACGGAAGCAGACTTGCGTTTTATCTCTGGTGAAAAGCTAATAATCGCTCAAGATACGCTCTCCTGCAAAAGCGTTTCACCCGACATGATCATAGGACAAGATCTCCTGAATCTTGTCACTATCCACAACGACAGAGTGCGCAAGCTTCCTTCAGGGCTCATTCTGACCCCAACCATCTTCGGATTCGTTATATCAGGGACGAGCTGCACTATCACCACATCAAGATTCATCGGCACATTCGGCTGCATATCAGCGCTAAAGAAAACACTGAGGAACAACCGCCCAACTCCACAACACAAGAGAGATTGAAGAAACCCAAAGCGTACTCTCATTTCAACAGTGCGAACACTCGAACATGCAATAAGCCATTATTGCAAAAGCAAAATGAAGGAACAATCCAAAGGAGAACGATTCCGTCACGAGCGATGCTACAACCATGTTCTTCATCCAAAAGCCGACAATCCACCTTTACAAGGTCAACAGTCAATGCTTCCATCCTCGCTGAAGCTCGAGCAGACAGACAACGTTGGCTGGCCACAATACGCTCCACGAACTCCAGTGTTCGCGCTCAATACCGGATGGAGTGGCTACCGCAGCGGTTCACAAATAATGAAGCCAAGATAAGGATGACGAATACACCACAGAGAAGAAATCATGAGTACACACATCGCGCAAGCACGCCCTCTATCAAGGATATGGTCAATGGATCATCTGCCATCGATTCAGTATGGAGAAGGAGGAAATGGCGAGGACGACGAGCAGCGCAAAACCGCCAAACAGCTCCAGCAACCACTCCAGGATCTTTTCCCATTACCACTTTATCTAAATGGTCGTACTCTTGTGTGTATGTTTAAGATACTTGCAACTCCTGCTTTATAGCTCATTTATGCGTAGGTATTAACTTATTCGCTAGTCAACTTCACATGTATCTGCTACTCTAATTAGGATCTTACCAGATCTAACCACTTTCGTCTCGCTCGCCCGGAGTGTTGATGATTTCTGTATCATCAACCATTCATGAACTCTATATTCTATATAGCCTACGGAATCCCCTTAGGCTAAATGGTGAGCTACTCACTCTTGAGTATCTAATCACTCAAGAGTGGTACCCGTGCGCCAGGAGTGTAGCCAATCGGCATCTCCTTTCAAGCACCAACTTGTGTACATTGTACCCTGTACTCGGTTCAGCTCCGCCTTCCTTCGTATAAAAGGAGCCTCCGAATGTATTAGGGGTTGCTCCCCGGTCCACACCGGGACACCTCACTCCGACTCTTCTCGAATAATCTACGCCCGTGCGAATAAACCTTATTCCACAACTCGTCTACCCCCTAATCACTTGGTACCCACCAAATATGTACACGTGCCGACGAGCAGGTAGGCGGACTGCTAAAGCCATTAGCACTGGTTCCGGTATCTGTGAAACCTCATCGCCAATTAACACCTTGAAACCTTCCATGTGCTTTCTAAAGATACCCCCTGGACCGCTAACGTTCAACGTGGACGATGTCGTCGCTAAGATCACGTTAGGCTTCATGAGGCGAAACAATAAGTCTACCATTTTGTGCACGTTCCTTGAGACGAATCTTTCACTGATGAAGTGCTCTTCCCGATCCTCCCCCGTCATGCGAAACACGAGATCAGGGTCGTCTAGATATCGTTTAAGGACTTCCCTTCCTGACTGAAAGGCGCTGCACAAATCCAACTCGTCAGCGGTTAACTGTTCTGCATACCGACTTCCAAGTTTCTTGAGAAGTTCTCCCAAATCAGCCGAAGTTGGAGAGTTGTTCTCGGCTGCTGCAGTATCCGATCGATAACGAACCACGGCAAGATGACTTTGATTATCTAGGGACAACAATGTCTCAGCAAATTGAGCCACGGCAGCATTTGTGGAAGCAGTCATGAACACCGGGGTTTTCCTTGCAATTAGGGCAGCTGCTAAAGCGCCCACAACAGTCTTACCAGTCCCAAACGCCGCTTGTACGCCGACTATTGGCAAGTCGCTGAGAGCCAAAGCTAAGGCTTTGTGCTGATCGTATTAGGACGAAAGACCCGGATTGATAATGACTTTGGAATAGAATTGACGCGTGGAATGATGCGCGAACAGTGATAAGACAAAGGCACACGTGCGATCACATCAGAGGATTCTTTTGGACATAACCACGCCGGCGAATCAAATGATTAGACAAAAGAAATTAGCGAAGAAAGCAACACACATAACATCAATAATCGAACATCAGGAAGAGTCCTCGATTTTGCTTGAGGGGATGAGGACAAGTAGTTATACGAGGAATTTGCAAGCTCATCATTGCGTTTCACTAAAGCCGAAATGCGGACTTCATCATCGAGAGCTGCTTACTTAGCGCACAAAGAAACAGATAAGTTTTTGATTCTCTCCTGAGCGTCAGTTCTTGCGAGGAATCTTGAGGAGTGATGTTCATTATTCTAGGAGATGTCCTGCGCAAAGAAGTACGAGGCGAATGATAACGGTTGGTTAAAGAACGCCTACCTCCCGAGGAACGTCGAACTTTGGATGGGATTGTTGTGCCATGTGGCCGAGTCCTCCGCAAGAATAGCATTGTGTTCGACTAGTAATACCAGTCTTGAAGCGGTCGTGGCGATATCGCTACCAGTAAAATGAAGTGCACTTCACTAATGCTAAGCTACACGTTGAGAGTAGAATGGTTCATTGATCTAACGAACAATATTAATCTACTGGATCCTGGTAGGTTGCAAGGTTGACGATGATGACGGGGCAAGCAGCAGCTCAGGGATATCACTGGAGAGGCGCCGCCGGTCGGTCACTGGACGTTGGAGTTTCTCCCCGCACCCCACGCGTATCGGCCACGTCTTAAAAAGTATGACTTAGTACCGAACTCAATAGGGGTGCTTGTGCTCACAGTATGTCTGTCTGTCACGAAATTCATGGAGCAAGTTTCAGCAAATGTCTTGAGCTGAATCTTTGCACAGTGTCCGCGGACACCGTGCAACAGCAGCGACAGCGCGCTGGCAGCGCCTAGGCTCACCCTGCGCAATGGCGAACGGATCCGATGCGCGGGTTCTTTAAAAATGGTGTTTGGAGCTGGTCCACTCGGCTTTTGGCATGCAAAACTGGGCCGCTGATTCGACTTTTTGCAACGTCATGTATTTGTTTGACAAGTAAATTTGGGAGGCATGAATTTTAGTCCAAAAATGCTCAAAAGGTCTGTTCTTCTGCTAGAGGAGCGCCAAAAAGGATTGAATGCGTAAATAATCGATTACTTAAGGCTTTACCTGATGACTTGAAAAGAGTTTTACACAGAGAGGTAGCTCATGGTGTTTACTATTTTTATGGGAACACCTGATGTTCAAATAAATGCAGTAACTCATTCAAATTCGAATTTATTTCTCTGCAGAAAAGTTTTTTCTTCCAAAATCACCGATCTTACATGGAAATACTGTGAGAATGAGCAGTTGTTTACGACTCATCCGTGATGTTCAGCACCATCCGGTGGGTTTCAGAGCTTTTTCATAATTTGAGTGGAAAAGTACACGAGTGGTTTTCGGCAAAGATACTGCACGATTCGTAATTCTCGATTTTCTACGAACGCCCACGCTACATTCGCGATTGAGTATTGTGATGGAATTTTGATTAATAAATGGAGTCGTGACGGCTTGAACTCCTGCAAAGCCGCCTTGAATCAGAGTGCGACTTGATAGTCTCAAAGGAAAGAGAAACACCCAAAAGTGTCATCATCTTATATATAAAGCTGAATGTCTGTTTGTATGTATGTCTGTCTGTCTGTATGTCTGTCTGTCTGTGTGTACGTATGTTCCGAATAGAAAATTCCATTTCTGAACCGATCCGGACCAAACTTGGCACACATACACTACGGGCCCCGGCGGGTGTCATAGGCTACTTTTCGTCATCGATCGATATCGATTTTATCGATTTTTATCGATTTTTTTGCTGAGTTCACCTACGGGGCTGGGAGTTGGCACAGGGGGGTAATCGAGCATGGGGATTCCGAATACAATATTGATTTTCAGGATTATCGATTACTTTTATCGATTTTATCGATTTTTTTGCAAAGTTTGAGCTACGGGGCTGGGAGTTGGCACAGGGGGGTAATTTAGCATGGGGATTCCGAATACAATATTGGTTTTCAGGATTATCGATTACTTTTATCGATTTTATCGATTTTTTTGCAAAGTTTGAGCTACGGGGCTGGGAGTTCGCACAGGGGGGTAATCGAGCATGGGGATTCCGAATACAATATTGGTTTTCAGGATTATCGATTACTTTTATCGATTTTATCGATTTTTTTGCAAAGTTTGAGCTAGGGGGCTGGGAGTTGGCACAGGGGGGTAATCGAGCATGCTGATCATCCCCAAGGGGGGTGATCAGCATGCTCGAACACCCCTGTGCCAAATTCCAGCCCCCTAGCTCAAATTTTCAAAAAATCGATAAAATCGATAAAAGTAGTGGACGATCTTGAAAACTATATTGTATTCGTAATCTGCATGCTCGATTACCCCCTGTGCAAAATCCCAGCCTCGCATGTCAAAATTTACAAAAAAATCGATAAAATTGATAAAAGTAATGGACGATCCTGAAAACTAATATTGTGTTCGTAATCAGCATGCTCGATTACCCCCTGTGCAAAATCCCAGCCTCGCATGTCAAAATTTACAAAAAATCGATAAAATCAATAAAAGTAATCGATAATTCTGGAAACTAATATTGTATTCGGAATCCCCATGCTCACTTCCCCCCTGTGCCAACTCCTAGCCCTGTAGGTGAATTCTGCAAAAAATCGATAAAAATCGGTAAAATCGACGTCGATCGATAACGAAAAGTGGACTGTGACACCCGCCGGGGCCCGAAGTGTATGTGTGCCAAGTTTGGTCCGGATACGGCGGAGCCGGGTAAGCCAGCTAGTGACTTATAATAAAGCGCTTAGGGTGTCTTTTTGTCCGTGTGTGTATGTCTGTCTGTCGCGAAATTCATACAGGGAGCTGCAGCCGAGCTTTCGAGCTACAATTTTGCATAACACATCGCACCAGTATGTAGGTCCACCGTGCACAACGACGAGCCGGTTCGATAAGCGGGTCCTTCAAAATTTGCGCCTCAAACGGGTTCACGCGACTTTTGGCAAGCAAAACTAGATCGCTAATTCGACTTTTTGCATAGCCATGAGCCTGCCAAGTAAATCTGCGCCCTATGAATTTCCAGCTCAAAAAAGTGCTCAAAAAGTTTGCTTTTCCTCGAAAAAAAGCGCCAAAAAGTGGTGATCGCCTAGGTAGTCGATTTGGCAAGGTTTTACCTCAACATTTGAGAGGATTTTTACACGGAAGTGTAGCTCAAGTGACTATTATCTTTATGACGACAACCAAGCCAAAACAAATTCAGTAATCCATTCAAATTCGCGGGTGTTAATTTGCGAAAAAGTCTTTTCTCTCAAAGTTACCGATCTTACATGGAGATGCTTCAAAACAGTTGTTCACGATTCATTTGTGATGTTCAGCATCGCATGGTGATTTATAGTCATCATTGAGCGAGCATAGAAAGGCACACGGATAGGAGAGCCAGTGCGAACCTTCGCGAAGCGTGACGCATTGGTAAACACATAACATGGTAGCAAAGATACTCTTCGGAGCCGCAGCCGAGCTGTGGCCCAACTCATCAATACAAGACACACATGTTAAATGTCCACCATTTATCGGCACAAAATTCCCTACACGCAAACACAAGGTGGAGCTAAACCAGCAAGATGTTAAAGACCTAAGGGCTGGCAATATCAGAAACCCCGAGGCGGTGTTGCCGACATGTGGCCAAACACGAGCGCACTCGGGTTTACCTCGTCTGCGCACTGGCCAGTCTTCCATGGCACGGTAATGTAGACGAACTTGTGAGTTGGGGAAGGCGCTGCATCGATCGATTGACCGGACGATGGAAATTGGAACCCGACCGCTCACCAGGTGATAGTAGTGAAGACTGATTTGAATGGTAAGCTCAGCAGCGTGAGAAGGCAGGAAAGCGCGAGGAAGGCGTTTCAGGACCCCTCGCAAAACGGCGGCAGACTTCTTTGAAAAAAGTCGCGAATCCGCGACAATATCTATACCATTTTTCTGTGATATTCGGTCTGTTCGTGACGTCAAAAAGGAAGAAAAGAAAGTCTTTTTTTTAGAAAAGAAAGATTTCCTGATTTTTCAGCTGCTTTCTTGGGTACTCAGAATGATTTGATTTTTTGACCATTTTTCTTTAGAAAACTCTTCGTTGTAAGGCTTTGTTATTCGCGTTGTTCTCAAAAATCGCCAATTTTTGCTGTCTAGAATGATATAGATATGGAGATATTACGCTATCCCTGAAGCTGTTATCGTCGTCTTCCCGGCATACGTTGGGCGGAGCTTTTACGGACATTTTAACACGTTGGTGAACTTGTCAAGCTTCTACTGCAAAGTGTGGTTTTTTGTACTCTCTAATTTGCCACGTATATATGCTGTTGTCACACGTGGCAGAGATGGTAGCGAGAGATCACAGAAAACAGTGTCTTGCAGTAGAGGGTTAACAAGTTCACCAACGCGTTGAAATGTCCGCAAAAGCTCCGCCCAACATACGCTGGAGAGACGACGATATCGCACCTCAGTGCGACGGGGTGCGAATCTCTATGCAAGAGTTTTAGACGACGAACATAATTACTATGTCATCTGCAGGGGCTTTGCCGGCAGCTCCGGCTGCTAAATGCTGCAACAGTCGGGTGCCCGGGTACCACCTGCTACGCATCAGTGGCGGAGCAAGTGGTACCGAGGGGAGGGGGTGGGGGGTTCATCAAATATACATATACACTGTACATATACACTTCCATGTTCCAGTGGCGTGCCCCACGGCGGAGTTCTCTTCCCCTTATTATTTCTGATTTT